GTAAGTGTGAGTGAGAACGTACAATATGGGGTCCAGACATTCAAAAATGAGATTGTAAAGAAGTTATTTGCACAATTAGTGTTACTGATAACTGTGCTGGAACCGACATAAAAAAGGGGTTTATATTATAGTGAGGCGAAGAATAATAGCTTCTTTGTTTCATGCGTGCTTTCTCTCCTCTCTCTCCCTCTCTGTGTTTTGTCTAGCTCTAGATGTGGCACGGCAGGCCAGGAACGGAGCGGAAGCAGTCAAGGTACTGGAAAAGGTCCGGATCGTGAACGGAGCGAAACACGGGCTGAACGGGGAGGAGCTGCCACGTACCACCATCAGCCACCTTTCACAGCCGCAGGATTTCAAAGCCGAGCTAAAACACGATGTGAGACTCAGTCTAGCCGCTCGATCAAAGTCGATTCCTACCAAGTACCACTACGACGAAACCGGTTCGGTTTTGTTCGAGGAGATAACCCAACTCCCCGAGTACTACCTGACTCGGGTTGAAACCGGGATCCTCCGAGAACGGGCTGGCGATATCATGAAACTGGTCAAACCGGATGAGCTCGTTGAACTCGGGTCAGGCTCGTCGACGAAAACTCGACTACTCCTAGAAGCGATGCACGGCACTGGTGGGAGATGGTACGTCCCGATTGAAATCTCCGAGACGGCGCTCTACCAAGCAGCTAAGATGCTGAGCTCTGACTATGACTGGCTGCACATTGACGGTTACGTCGGGAACTACACCACGGATCTTCCGCTGCTACAGAGAAGGGGCCGACGCCTCCTCACCTTTCTCGGGTCGAGTCTCGGAAACTACACCAATGAGACGCGAGCAGAGTTCCTCGCAATGTTGGGTAACGCACTCCAACCGGGCGACGCCCTGCTGTTAGGCATCGACCTCGTCAAAGACGAAGAAACGATGGTCCTGGCCTATAACGACTCGGCCGGTATCTCCGCCCGCTTCAATTTGAACGTCCTCGTCATGCTAAATCGAGAGCTTGGTGCCGATTTCGACGTGAGCAACTTCACCCACTCTCCCGTGTGGAATGCCGAGAATTCGGGAGTGGAATCACACATCAGAGCCAATAAAGGGATGACCGTTTCTCTCCCTGGCCTCGGCACCAGCATCGAGCTGGGCGAGGGAGAAGGGATCTTTCCAGCGATATCGTGCAAGTTCACGAGAGAGGGTGTCACGAGAGAATTGGGGGACGCGGGGCTGGAGGTGACTCAGTGGTACACCGACAGTGCGGCAATGTATGGAGTCTTGGTTGCAGCACCGAAAATTTGACTTTTTAGATACTAAACAGAGAAACTGGTGTATTGATTTTCATTCATTCTGGTGTACATGACGTGCGCACTGAACGTATGATTGAACTTCCATCAAAACATGCATGGCTGTAGTGTGTACGTGTAGCGTATAAAAGTCTGTGTATTTCAGGGGACGGTTGTTGCATTCGCTCACAAGAAACGAATAAATAGCTATGATACCTGTGCGTAATATATTATATATACACCTATGTATATAATGATTACAGTATATATCACGTCCACCTATGATGTGACTTGTATTGAGCTTTCTCCTAGTACAGAGCAGAGGTGTTTGAGACGCTGCTGCATCTCGGGGATCCCCGCCAGCTGGGCCTCGAGTCTCTCCTTCTCCTCTCTCAGCCCTAGCCTCGTGGCCGTGTCCAGCTCCTCCATCCTCCAGTCCCCCTCCCCGTTGAACTGAAGCAGGTGAGTGTGGAATCTCCTGTTTTGAGACAGCGAGTGCAGCAGTGAGGCTAGGTTCGCAATATGTCGCATTGCCGTGTCGCGCCGTGCCGTCTCACGTCGTGTCGCATTCTGCCGCGAAGATAGAAATGGATCATATCCTCGCGACGCAGCAAAGCGCAACAGGGCAATGCGACATAGTGAACCCAGCCTAAGTGTGTGTGTGTGCCTGCGTATGTGACCAAGCCACCTTGTATCATAGCAGAAACTTGCAGGAGATCGTAGCCCTGGAAATAATAAGGACTTTTGTGCAGTTGGTGACTGGATGTTTAAGAATCACTCGACTCTATATCACACCCTACAGGTGGTCTAGACAAAGTTAGATCATACCAGAGAGAGGGTCTATGAGAGATGGTGAGTAGCGTGATGCCAGCGTCCTTTGCAGCCTGGAAGATGCCTCCCTCCACGTCTATACTGACTGCACTGGTACACTCGTCCAGCAGTGCAAACTTGGGCCTGAAAATTATAGAAAAAAAGGTGCATCGGAACTACTTTCGGAACTACTTAAGTCACTATACTGTAAAGTTGCTGCAATCAGACTCATGTTTACTCTAATGCAGTAATACAAGACAGAGTTGCTGGTGAAGGTTGTTACCTGTGGTAGAAGATTCGCGCCATTCCCATTCTCTGCTTCTCTCCTCCTGACAGAACATCCTTCCAGTCACTGACTGCATCCCATCCTAACAGATCATATGGTGTTCACATGATAATCATACAATGTATCACATGACATCCTTCCAGTCATTGACTGCACCTCATCGTAACAGATCATATGGTGTTCACATGATAATCATACATGTATCACATGACATCCTTCCAGTCATTGACTGCACCCCATCCTAACATATTACAGTATAGGCAGTATATTATTTACCATTTGTATGTCGAATAAAATGTACGAAATCTCAACAAAAGTTTTAGCCGAATGGTGAAAATAATGTTCCGACAAAATTTAACACTATGCATGTGGTGTGCTTACAAAAAGACCCACCTCCCTCCCTTTTGACGATGTACTTGAGGTGCACGGTGTCCAGGGCGGCTTCCAAGTGGGTGTCAGAGATGCCTCTTGACTCCATGTCCTCTTGACTGTCGGGGTATATGACCTGGTCCCGCAGCGTCCCTAGAGACATGTAGGGTCTGAGGGGAAGAGAGGAGTAACTATGGCCACGCGTGTTTCACTTACGATATTATTTGCACGTACCCATGAATTTTTGTGACAGGCTGGCGAAAAAATTTTACTGCTCGTGTTTGCCCACCAAAATGCATTACTTGTACATAATTATATAAACCCCTGAGGGATGTATATACACAGACGAGTGTTACAAACTACGAACTCTGAGCGTACAACAGTGTAAGTGTGTATATATTATATATATATATACACACGCCTGAAGAAAGTGTTATATACATATAGTGTGTACTGAGGGATGTAAAAGATTGTCAACTTATAGTGTGTGTGTGTGTGTGTGTGTGAATCTGAGGGACGTAGAGAATATATATATAGACCTCTGAGGTATGTAGAAGAGTGTAGATGGAGGAGGCTTTGTGAGTCTTCCTCCATAGACCGGCCACAGTCCGCTCAATATTCTAAATAGAGAGCTCTTCCCACATCCATTGGGTCCGGTAATGAGCAGGTGCGTGCCTGGAGTTACCTGTAAAATACAGCGGAACTGCTTATAAATGACACTCCAAATAAAGAACACCTCTTAAATAAAATTAATCACTTTTTTCCATGCACATCTCTCTATAAAAGACATAATATTTTCTATCCGCCCCCTTGCCCCCTCCTGCTCCACAAATAACCCTGGATGTGAGGTCTTACCCTCAAAGTGAGTCCAGAGGCAACTATATCTCGGTTTGGAGTGACGATGGGGACGTTTTCGAGAATTATCGTGTCTTCACTTTCAATTACCTGCAGTGGGAGAAACACATCTTATATACTAACACAAACACTCCACAGACTGGTCAAAAGTAAGCCTCCCTGGTTATTGGACTTACACACAAACACAGCTTCCTTCTGTTGAGGTCTGTCCAGAGCTATGCATAATTATTTCTCTTTCCCACACGGACCCTGACACACAGGTAAAATATTTTTGTTCTCAAAATTCTAGGAAAAACAGATGCTAGACATTTTGCCCCAATTCCCAATTACAATGACTATATAACATTATACAGCATAAAGTTTCATGCAAAAGAAAATAAAAACACAGACAGCTTCGTGTTTGCTCGTAAAAAATTTCTTTTTCGCCCTGCACCAACCTCTCCCATAGTGGCTCCAGTGAACTTCCTGTCCTCCTCAGTCGCGTGGTGATCAGCTCCACCCTCGCCCTCCGGCGAAGACCCCGGCAGAGCCACTGTGCCTAAATACCAGAGTTCTCTTCATGTGTGCATATACTAGTGACCACTCAGGGCTCAATACACATTAAGACGAAGGTAAATCCCTAAACACTAGCTGCGTTAAATTTCCACCCAAACGTGCCTCTACTGTTCTTTGTACGTGTGCTTTAGTTTGCTGTCTCTAAAAATGATGGGTCACCAAATTCGAATTAAAAAATCTGACTTTATACTCACTAACACAAAGCTCTTTGCAGTGTATAATACTGCAGTTCATTACTTCACACGTCAAATTCTCCATACAATTGGTTTCAAAACCCCCAAATCGACTTTTCACACACCAACACGAAGTAAATGTAAAAAGAAAAATTTATCTTTCAAGTGTCGTAGTACGTACGTACCTTCCACAGCGACCACCTCACAGTGACCGGCGCTCACGTCCTCAAACACACTCACCATTTCACTGACACGTGCAGTGTAGCCAGCCAGCTCCGTGATCTGCAACAAACAACCGTACGGTCACGGAAAAATAGATTTCAAACCCAATAAGAAATTTTGGATTTTATCCTAAAAATATCATGCAGAGCTCTCAAACCATGAAATTTATCGAACGATTCCACCTAAATTTCCCTCAAAAGATTCCTAAAAATAGTTCTGTGCACTCCATTCACCTCCTTATACGAGGTCATGATGCGTTCCGCAGCGTCTGCTCCCTGAATGAGCAGGTTCTTGGAGGTCGTGTAGGCCTCTGTCTTCTCGCCGATGGTCCGCTCCTCCACTTCTCTGTCCCGCCCACTGAGGATGGGCCAGGCCACAATCACCATACCTGCGTGGGTAGGGAGGAGATGAGTAGAGGAGAGGGGTTAAAGAGGGGGAGAAAGAGAGAAGAGGCAGAGTGACAAGGAAGAGAAGAACAGTAGGGAAAAGGTAGAACACATGAAAAAATCAAATTACACTAAGACACCGAATCGTTTTGCAACATGTTTAGATTGAGAACAATCCAAACACTCCCTCATTTAAATGAGAGAGTGTTTCCAGTGTAGGGTGGGATATATATATATATAGAGGGTAGCAATGGCAAGGGGAGAAGACAGTAAAAATGGAAGAAAAGAGAGAAGAAGGGGATGAGTGAAAGGGTACAGAAGTAAAAGTGGTGGGGATGAGAGAGAGAGAGGGTTGCGCCAACCTGCAAGGCCCCACATGTACTTCATGAGGAACTGCTCTATCATGATGAACCACAGCCTCTTGCGAAACATGAGGTCCATCTGTCTGGCGAGAGCCGTGAAACTGCTGCGAAGTAGGTCGTGCTCAATCTGTTAAAAACACACAACACAATGGTTCAACTACTCAAAACTTGTGTGTATGTATGTACCAACGTTACCATGAAATACATACTAGTGGACTTGTTGTTTTATTCACATAAATTTCCAGTCAAAGAGAGAAACTGACTGTGTTCGGGTTTCACGCGCACAGCATGTTCTTTGTGCAGAGAAAGTTAATTGTGCTCAGAGTACAAAGTTGCAACTGCACTAAGTATGTACAAGACATCATCTCTTTTGTGCCCACATGTAGTTACGTATTACTGCCTTCCGACTACTATTCCATAGGACACCTCTATAAACAAAGCAGTAAACCTGTAAGGGAGTGTTCTCACCAGGTGGCCACCGTAAAAAGCAACTTCCTCTGCGTTGGCAATGATCCTGGAGTGCACGTAGCGCAGATAGCCATTTCGTCTCGCCTCTTCCGCCACCAGCTTCCCGAACGGAGGAGACACCACTCTCAAGATGGACGCCGTGGCTCCTATCATACCGAGCCCTATGGCCATTGGGTACGGCGAGTGGACGCCTCTCTTCCGCGCCATACGTATCAGCGTCGTCATCATTAGCACCAAGTCGAGCATGGGCTTGCTAATGTGGGAGTAGATGTGAGTGACGGCGGACGAAAACGCCTGGATGTCCTCAGTGAGAGAGTGGTCTGGGTTCGCCAGTCGAGTGTCGAGGTTGCTCACGCGGTAGTACGTCTGGTTCTGAAAGTACAGCGAGTAAGCGTAGGCAACGAGCCGAGAGCGGATGGCTAGAGCGAGCTTCGATTCCAGGTACCGGATGAGGCTGTTGATAAAGGTCGCAGGGAGGGCGAGAAGAACCCAGTTCACCAGTAGGGCGAGAAACCGAGGAACGTCTCCCTCGACGATGGCCTTCACGATCTTGCCGTCGAGTGAGGCGAGGTAGATGGAGAGAAAAGTGCGGGAGACTAGGGAAGCTGTGTGCAGGGTGAGGAGACCAAACTCCTTAGAGATGACGCTGGGTATGGATATTCTGAGCAGTTTCAGCAGCCGGCGGAGAAATAATCTATTGATAGCCGGACCCCGCTTCTTCTTTTTGGAACCCCCTCCTCGGTCCCTCGCGTGCGGTTCCCCGCCCCCCGCGGCGGAGCTCGAGAAGAAATACTTTTTCCCGGCGTGGTAGAGGACAACTCCAGATGCACAGGCAGCCAGAGCCACGCTGGCTCGTCGAGTAGCCATCGCTGAGGTTTCTCCGTAGGCTCAAAACAGCACGAGTCGCTCGATTGCGCTGCTCTTCCCCCTCCCTTTCAGCCACACCACCACCGCCGCCCGCCACGGCGAACTCCTGCGCATGCGCATTTGTAATGAATGAAAGTTCACTATTACAGGGCCTAGGATGCCGACCGAAAGGGAGAATAGCGAGTTTTTCGCGCGATTTGTCGTGCCTCTGATAGTAAGTACCTAGTAAGTTACATTTAGGCCAATAGGCAGTGTTCGAATAAGCCGTTTTGCAGGCTGGAGGAATTGCGGGTACTACAGTGGACGTAGTACTGTTCCCTCTGGACACGGTAAAGACTAGACTTCAGAGCAAAGTCGGCTTCTGGGCCGCAGGAGGATTCAGGAGGATCTATGCAGGGATCGGATCAGCCGCTGCAGGCTCTGCCCCATCTGGTAATTGGACGACCATCGTAAAACCGTGCAGTGCCATCACAAAAGAATAATGGCTTTTTCTTTTATTTAGCTGCAACGTTCTTCTGTGCATATGAGCTCACCAGGTCATTTCTTGGAGAGCGTCTCCACAAACGACACGCTCCGTTGGTTGACATGTTGGCTGCTTCAGTTGGTGAAGTGGTCAGTCATCTTGTTTTGAGACATTTGTGCACTTTTGTGTTTACAACCCCCGATCTTAAATAAAGTATATATACCTCATATTGACTATTGTATATACTTCTATCTTCATTGCTAGATTGCTCATTGCTCAAGTGTGAAAAGATTGAGAGCTTAATTTTGAATGCTCTTTCATTGTAGACGAGTTGTTTGGTAAGAGTTCCATTTGAGGTGATAAAGCAGCGAGCACAGGCCAACAGAGGGTTTTCATCGCTCGCCATAGCCAAACATACCTGGAGAACTGAGGTATGTATTATAGTGGTTCTGGCACACTTTTTGTCCACCACTAACTTGAAACTAGCCACCAGGGTTTTGCATTTGCATGTAAAGTGGGCAGGGGTATCTACAGGTATATATCTCCTACAAGGATAATTGTGCACTATGCATTGGTAGTAGTTTTAGGTTGTTTTGTGTTTTGACCACCACTTGATTCATGCATTCAAGTAGCCCTAAATAGTGTATGTATGTAATATGATTCACATAGCTCATTGCCCAACCGTGAAAAATATCGTACCAGTTAATTGTGTCTTGCAGGGAATGAGGGGAATGTACAGAGGATATTTCTCACTCGTGTTGCGTGAAATACCGTTCTCATTCATCCAGTATCCTACCTGGGAATACTGCAAGGCAAGAGAAAGCTACATTTGAGGTCAATGTGTAGTAGTCGTGGCCGAGTGGTTAAGGCGATGGACTAGAAATCCATTGGGCTCTGCCCGCGCAGGTTCGAATCCTGCCGACTACGTTTTTTTCCTTTGTCAAAAGCCTATTTTTACTCAACTGCTGTAATGTCCACCATCCAAAGAAAAGCAGCCATTATGTACCAACTGGATATATACCATGTTTTGTAGTATGCTGATCTATGAGCATTGAGAACGCCACATCTGAGTTACTGTCCCAAAAAGAAACACCTCGTGAAAATGGTTTCCAAGTTACTGCGTGCAGGGTTTCTAAAAGTCGGTGCATTATCATAACGTGTAGTGCACACTGCAAACTGATGATCCGTATTCTTACTGCTAACCATCTCTGTCGATATTCTGCAGTTTCATTCTCAATGCAATAAAGGGTGCAATCTTCTATTCTTCACAGAGAGTGTGGAGTGTGTCTCAGGGCAGGGCAGTAGATCCCTGGCAGGGAGCAGTGTGTGGAGCCATCTCCGGGGGATTGGCTGCAGCTCTCACCACTCCTCTCGACGTCCTCAAGACCAGGATCATGCTAGCTCAGGTGCTCTCTTCCGTAGCTACCTTGTGTCCGTCTGAGTATTGCATTGCAAACGTGGCAGTATATATAAGCGCTACAGTTAGAAAATGTTACTAAAAACAGAAACCTAATTGCATTCTTGCACTGGGCCCTATTGTTTAGTTCTATCTTTAGTAACCTAAATTTGGGACCTTCTATTATGTACTGTATGTATTGACACATTCCCTTCAATATGTTGGTGTTGCAGAGAGGAGATTCTGAAGTGACAGTGTCCATGTGGCAGCTGCTTCTACAGATAGCCCGGAATGAAGGAATGAAGGGGTTAGACAATGTTTGAGAGAGAGAGAGATAACACTTGAACCATTCATAAGGTCGTTTTGTGGTGGAGGCTCAAAGTCATGTGCATGCAGGCTTCAACTTTTGTGCTTCTGTAGCAACTGTATATAGCTGATTGGAACAAGCTTGCTAATAAGCATGTGGAAATGATCCTCCAATTACTGAAAACCGTGCTCAAATTTTCATCATGCAGGTTGTTTTCAGGGTTCACTCCACGAGTTTTGTGGATCAGTACTGGAGGATTCGTGTTCCTAGGAGCCTACGAGAAAAGCAAACTTCATCTTTTGAACTTCTAATAATCATTTTTAGTTTTTTTCATGAATCATTTTCGTGAGCTGACAATAACTGGAACCCTCTGTGATACTTGGCCACCAGTCGACTGTTTGCTAATAGGACTCTCACAGTTTTTGCTGCCACATCCTGTGACACTGGTAGAGCTATCAGCACACCCGGTCAAATTCGACGTTTCGCTGGAAACTGTTGAGCTCTGGAGTTTGCCGCCGTCTTCAGCTACCCCCTGGTTTGAGCTCACGGCAGGATTGGAGGAGGGTTCTCCTCTTCCTCCCTCCTCTCTCTCCCTGTGCAGGCGATCTCGCAGGTCTTTCAACTCGCTGAAAAACTTCAGCTTGTCGCTTCGTTTCGGGTATGTGGCTGCTCGGCCAGAAGTAGAAGGCATGACATACACCACCTGAAAATCGAGATGTTATTAACGACAGCCACCACTATGTGGTGTTTGTTACATACTATATCGGTGCCAGGGAGTGGTTCTTCTTGAATACCAACCGTACACTTTCCACCCGTGTATATCTCGTAGATACCTGGACAAACGAAACAGCAACCGAAACTGAACATGTAGTCGTGGCCGAGTGGTTAAGGCGATGGACTAGAAATCCATTGGGCTCTGCCCGCGCAGGTTCGAATCCTGCCGACTACGTTTTCTTTACATCCTTTTTTGTCCAGTTAGTGCATTTTGAACACTTATAATAATTTTACCGCCCTTTTGCTATGCGATAAAACAGACAATTGGAGCAGATCATAGCAAAGTTTGCAAACCTTTTCCGTTGAAACAGATAACGAGAGGCTTGAGTTCCTGCATTCTCTCTATCATGACTTTTGACCACTCCTTTATCTCTTTCCTGTGCACACAGTTGAAAAAAACCTCTGAATAAGGGACACCTTGGGGAAACTGTCCCTTATTCAGACTAAATTAGTATGGGTCAGAACTAAGTGCCCTTTATAGAAATTGGAGGCTCCTTTTTCAGAGATTTCACACGGTTAATTTCACAAAGATCATAATGCACACATGTTACATGTTACGGGTTCTCTTGACCTGCTCAGTTCACTGGCGCTGCGTGTGGTGCGAGGGACAATGTTGGACATGCCAATCCCGTAGTTCAACACCTCGGCGTCCTCCATGAAGCCGAGCTTCTTTGGAATCAGCCCAGATTCGTACAGACACGGCCCTATCACAACAGGCAGAGAGTAAGTGTATTACAAAACAGCGTACTGAAAACTAGGAAGGTGTACTACTGATGGAAGTGTTTTTCATTAAAACAGAGGCTAAAAAACTCGAAAGGCTTAGCTCAAATTATTTTCAATATCCGTCCCCTTCCAGAAGACAACCTGGAAATGACTTACAGAAGTGGTTGTTGGCGTTGCAGTAGTGATGCCCGAGGTACGCTGAGTAGAGGCCGGGATTGATACCCATCTGTGGAACCAGTAGGAGTATTGGCATAATGCTGAAAAAACTAAGTACTACCGTTGAGATATACCGTACTCATTGATATACAAGCCCTCCCCTCTCCTTTTCTGTGTCTCTCGCTTGCTCCGCGACTCACGAATATTATGTCCAGGCTTGGAGCCAGGTGGTCCGGAAGGAGCATCTGACACACTTCCTCCTCAGTTTTGCCGCCAAATTTCTTGGGATCGAGAGGCTTCGTCTCTTTGGCAGCTCGTTTCGTCTTAGGACTACATCCCCCCTCGTCCGACAGCGCTCTCTTTGACATTTTACACTAGCTAGCTAAACTCAGCACCCACCACTTTTTTGCGGTTATAATTTTAGTTCAACATTTCTTGCAGGTAAACTAAATTCGGTTAAAAAGAGCGAAGACGCCAACGCGAACGTGGGAATGTGATTACCGGAACGAGACACAAAAATGCTGCATAAGGACATTTTTTGTTTACGCCGCAACGTTTCGAGCCGGCCTTGTGAGTGATCGGAGAAGAAGGGAGAAGCGTTTCTGGGAGTCATCTCGTAGTTCCTCGTGTCTGAGAGATCTGGGGCCTTCGATTTGCCTGGTGTGAGGCGCCGCTTACGTTCGTGTGTGCTGTCCAAGTTCGTCTCTGTTTGTCGTCTGTCGCAGTGGTGTCCGGATAGCCGAGGCGGTCCGGTCATGTCGTCGCCGTCGGCTGGAAAGAAGAGGATGGACACAGACGTAGTCAAACTGTGAGCAAACTCTCTGTAGTTGTGTATGAAACTACACTTTGGGGATATGTGTGGTTAGTTTGGTCCCTTGGTAGTTGTGTTGGTCCATTGATCTTTCTTTGTAGCTTCTTTCAGTAGCTAGATATTCTTACTGTAGTTTTTCAAGCTTGCACACCAATCAACAGTAAGCAACATACATACAAAGCACATATGTACACATGTTGTGTTTCCACGACAACTGTGACATCTTTGGCCTTGTTCATGGCACAGCAATTTGCCACTCGTTACGTGCATAATATGCACACCCAGCCGTCAAATTATTGTCGCTAATGTTAAAGGAAGACAGTAAAGGACCCGCAATGTGTAGCACATCATTTAGTACCAGTACACATGTAAGGGTGCCAACCATTTTGATTTGGCTGGTAGGTCCCTCATTTGAGCATGGACACAAATTGTAACTAAGGGTTGTAGATGATGTAATACTTCCATGATGTTACAGCTCATAGTCTTATACTATCAGGTGATGCTGATGAACATTGTATGTACATGTAGTTTACAAACTATCCAGGAACCAGTGTGTAATTTGGGGAGAAAGTTTGGTTTGTGTTATACATCAGTGTGTGGGAGTTACATACAATAGGCCTGTGATATACTGTGTGTGATACACGGTGTGTATATCGTTAGGATTCCTAGCATCTTTATTGTCCCACGTTCTCCCTCTCTCTATCTCTGTGACGTCCACGGCAGGAGAGTAGCCTATTGGGTTATCAGTCTCTGTAAATATGGAGCGCAATTGCGTGTGTAGGGGGAGAAGATGCAGAACCACTAACGATCCTCTGGCCCTTGATTCAGTCAAGTACATCTATAGCCTGTGTGAGAGAAACGGGTTGGCACATACATAATCTCTCTCTCTCTCTCTCTCTCTCTCTCTCGCTCTCTCTCTCTCTCTCTCTCTCTCCCTCTCTCTCTCTCTCTCTGTCTCCACAGAATAGAGAGCAAGCACGAGGTGACAATTCTAGGAGGACTCAACGAGTTTATTGTCAAATTCTTCGGACCTTCTGGAAGTGAGTTACAATCCAGAATTCTACCCACAATAGATTGACAAAGCCAAGGGCTGCTACTATATACCAGGAAGTGATGCACGCTGAATGCAAAATTGACGTCCCAAATATAGTGAAGATTCTTGGTTTCATTGTGGCCCATGACTGGGATTAATGTGGCGTTTTACTGATGGTAGTCAGAGGTTTTCTAGCAGAGGGTTTCTCTATCTATCGTACGTAATATAGCCCAGCTGGCATTGGGGCAGGTGAAGCGGTGCATGGAACAATAGCCACATCAATACAACAGACGAATGTGGATGGATTAGAACCGCAGGTGTGATCGTAAGAGAGTGCCCACGAACCACGTGAAATATGTCCCCTCCCACTGGGCTACCACTTTGGGAAGTGCAACATTCATTGCTGCAGCATTCGATACTCATCTTGAGCCAACAACGTTTTACTTACTTATCACTACACACACCATTTAGTAACACCATTGACAGTGCTACATAAGTTACGTATGTATATGTACATACAGATGCTACATACTCTCTTACCAGTTAAACCCCATCTAATCCGAACGGGACTCTATGCCTTCAAACAGAGGCGTGCTTTAACTAATAATACTTTATTAGGACCGGATTGAAGCAAGTGTCCAATTGAGAGAAAACTGTCTTTTATAACCATGCTATTTCTTGTCAACTGCACAGCACCCTATGAGGGAGGAGTTTGGAAAGTACGGGTGGACCTACCTGACAAGTACCCATTCAAATCACCGTCAATTGGTACATGCTGTGTTGCGGTCACAACACGCACCCGCCCACTGTCCTTTTGTGTGCGTGTGTCTCTGTCCCTACAGGTTTTATGAATAAGATATTCCATCCTAACATAGACGAAGCGTGAGTTCATTACCATCTACCACAGTAAACTGACACTAAAACCAGTGTAGGCTCATATGATGTATGTACTATCCCACTGGGGAGTAATACTGACACTTGCTCATTGGGTACGTGATTCTAGAAATTCCCCACTTTCCCTGCTACATTTGTGGGCAGGGCATTTGTACAGTGAGACAAAGAAGAAACTGCTAAATTTTCTCGCATTCTCTACGTTAATTCCTGGCAATTATACCACTCGTAGCTCGCCGCCGAAATAAGAACACCTTCTGTCCCGTTGGTGTCCAGATTAGAGGGGTTCCACTTTGTACCACGTGTACTATGTACGTAGCTAGTAGTCAGTATCAACCGAGCTTTGTTGTTTGTTCAGGTCCGGTACGGTGTGTTTAGATGTTATCAACCAAGCATGGACAGCTCTCTATGGTGAGACTAGACACGTGTGTGTCTGTGTGTGGGTGTGTGTGAGGGTGGGTGTGTGCAGTAGCTGGTTTGTATTTGGCATGGGTGTGGATCACGTCCCAGAGTGGTGGACAACCATTTTGGCTGTGTGGCGACTGATGTTTGGAGATGTAGTATATGGCGTGACAAAACATCCACCCTCCTTTGCTTCTCCCACCACCCGCTAACCTAATAACGGCTACAAACAACAGACAAAGGAGTGGGTAGGCTCAGACTCTGTAGCTTGGAGTTTTAGTTACATAGAAACTACATAGTTGTTCCAACTACAGTAAGACAATGGATTTTCGTTTGCCTATCCAAAGCGAGGTACATATATAGAGTAAAAGGCGCAATTTCGAAGTGAGAGGAAAATTAAGAGAGATAGGGGGAAAAGATGAAAATGTGGCGAGACAGGCTGGGCAGCAAGAAGATGTTGTCCAGGGTTTTCTTATAATACACACGGTTTAGTTATAATACTTCAATTCTCTCTCCCTCTCTTTTGCAGACCTATCCAACATATTCGAGTCGTTCCTTCCCCAACTGCTAGCCTACCCCAACCCCACAGACCCTCTCAATGGCGATGCCGCGGCTCTCTATCTTCACCAGCCTGAGGAGTTCAAGGCCAGAGTAGCAGGTACCCATGAATTACTATGTGTATGGGGGCATTGAAGGTGTCCTTGAAAACCACAACAAAATTGCCTGTGATATACCCAACTTGATGTAGTGTATAGTAGAGAATACGAGTGTATATATAGGTGTATGTACAAACTATGGAGCAGAACTGTGTCCTTTATTCTGAGTAGTGTCCTTTTTCTGAGGCTTCAATGTATACAGTGTAACCTCCGAACAAGGTACACTATGGGGCCTACGATTTGTCCCTTGTAGAGAAGTCGTCCCCATCTCCGTCCCCATTTCCGAGGTCAAATAATACACTAAAGTATTAGCATAGGGTTGAAACAAGTGTCGGAGGTTCCACTGTATATGTACATTACTTGTATATGGCGGAAAGGGAGAAAACTAAATTTCAAGGTCTGATCAACCAAAAATAATGTGACTTCAATTTTTCAACTAGTGAGCTACATACACAGCTGGGACCACTTGATAGTGACAGAAGCAATCCGTGAAAATTTGTCATTAAAATTGTGATATTTTCTCCCTAATTAGGAAGTTTCCGCTGATACAAAATTAATTGGTTTCCTCCCCACTTTTTTGTTCCCCCAAAAAACAGACTATGTTCGCAAGTACGCCACGGAGGAGGCATTTCGGAACGAGAACTGCAGTGAATCTAGTGAGAGCGATATGAGCGATTTATCAGAAGACGAATGTCAGGATATGGAGTTATGATCTCTTCCATTTGATGCCCACCATCACCATTAGTCCTCTTTCACATTATGCCGCCACATGCCACGTTTGTATGTAGCACACGCATACAACACAACACACACACACATGCACACGCAAGGAATCAGCCATATTTTATTTATATTCTCTCTTTCTGCCATAAATTTTACACTCTTTTGAAACACGTGATTTTGCAGAGAAAAAACAAACACTCAAAAATATTTTGACATGGCTCGCTTCACATGACCCATTGCAAGTGAACTCAAAATCAATGTTGTGTTGAGACAGTTTGTTGAGTGACTTTCTTTCCGCCACCTTTGACCCCTGTCCCTCTATGACCACACCCACTCTTGGACCTTGACCTCTGGTCCTCTTGTCACCCTCGCCGTCCTCTTGAGCGCGACTGGCAGTGTCTGAGAACTCAGGTGGTAGGTGACGTTTCTGCAGAGCCAAGGGATTCAGAAATGCAGCATTAGCCAATGTGGCTATTGTCAGTGCATGTTGCTTTCCAAATGTCCAGCTTCAAATCTTACTTCGATGGAGAAGCTCTTTCTCTTGAGTTTGAACACCAGGTCCAGAGTTTCAGGGAGGTGAGAGGTCAGTGAGTTGAGACATGGCAGCTTCACCAGTTGGAAGAGACCTGCAACATGAATCACAATCAACTGTCGTCGATTACTTATAACAAACAGAGAACCACAATAGGTATACCACATGCAAGGTAAATAACACGAGGCAAGTTTGTAGCCTGCGTCCATCATACTTAGGAAGTTGCTATATGCAACTTTTGGTTGCCTTGTGTATGCTGGCCATGAGGCTTTGTATACATTTTCACTTTCTTTCCATTGTGCTGAAAATACCGTGGTAGTCTTGGAAGAGAGGGTTTGGTTCAGATCCAGCAAAGGAGATGATCCTGACAGCCGAGTCACACAGCCTCTCTATTTGTCTGACGTACACAGAATCCTATGGGGAACAACCACACACACACACACACACACCACACACTGACTATCACTAAGGTCTAATAGTGGGCAAGGATCATCGCAATTTCATTAATTATGTGGAAGATTCGAGCAGATTATATACCAAGTCAGGGAATGCATGTGGATTTAAGCAGAGATTGTGTCATTGATACAAAATCCCTTCAGTGAATGGTCCACTGTATAATTATATAGAAGAAAATTTTCACATATATACTGGCTGGGAAATCATGTAAAAACGCAAAAGTTTCCAGCTATGCAGTAAAGGAGCGATTTATGCAGTTAAGCACTAATCTGGGCTACAATACAATTTGCACCTGCATGAGGTGTGTTGGGACGGTAACCAGAGCCACAGCATAGGCTCTGCGAAGGAGTCCTCGAAGTGAGTGTAGAAACTGGGGGAGGGTGGGAGATGGGGGAGGAGGGAGGGAGTGAGGGGACTCTGATGAACCCTCGTCCAGCCACAGGGGAGAGCCAAGGGAATGCAGAGCAATTCTGAGAACATTTCGCTGCAAAACAACGGACAGCACCCACTGGATGTTCTGAAGACGTCTCATCATACCTGCTGAAGAGAGTTTTGAGAATCAACTGAGAAATCCCCGCTCTTGATCTTGGACTGGATTTGGGTTTTCAGGGATCTATATAAGTCGGTCGAGTTTCTGGAGAGAAATCGAAAAAGAAAAACGTAGTCGGCAGGATTCGAACCTGCGCGGGCAGAGCCCAATGGATTTCTAGTCCATCGCCTTAACCACTCGGCCACGACTACTGCTTGGAGGTAAATGGAAAAGATTGCAACCAACACAACACACACCTGGCTGCCAGCTGCCTCGAAACATCAAAGGTTGTCATGTCAATGGATGCCAGTCTACTCGGATCCATTAAAGATGTGAGATCAAAGAAATGGCCAAATCTGTTGCTGAAGGACGACTGCAGAAAACATAAATGTTTGCAAACACACTATGCAAGTTTTACGACGGCATAACACCTGAACTTTTGGAAGATTCTGGTACCTCCATGCGATTTTCATTTGGTCCGCTTTCTTGGAACCCGGGACAGTGGGACTGGTATCCAGGACAGGCCCAGATTCCTTTTTCTCTTCTTCACCAACAGCAGACGGTAAGTCCTATAAAGAAACAGCTGACCTACTATTAATGACAATCAAAAGCTCAAGGTTTCTCGATTATATAGTGTTGAATTACGCACTCCGAGAAGTTCAGTTGGGTCTTCACTAGCCGAGGCAAGGTAGACAGCGTGTCCACACATGACCCCTTCTGCTAAGAACATCTTGAGAAGAAGGCGAGAGTATGAGGCAAACACATCTTCCTCTGCAGTAGTTAGACTGAGCTCAAAATTTAATACATCGATCACTTTGTGTTTACCTATTAGTAGAACAGTACCCACTGCTAAGCCCCCACCTGGAGTGTACACATAACATACCAGCACAAAATCACTAAGACAGAGCAGTATTTGGTCGCTTGCTCGTACCCAGGAGAGCGTCCATGGACGGAACGCCACTGGATACGAGTAGCTGTGCGTTGTGCAGCGAGGGACGCGAACCAAGCGGGTGCTGGGGCCTCGCAGCAGCAGCACCACGCTTCTTGAAACTCGTGGCCATCGTGTATGCATGGAGGGGTCAAAGTTTACAATTTCAATTTTCCTGACGTTACGCATAAATAGAGACATGTCCGCTGGTGGGCGTGGTTTGCCGTAAAAGTGGATGCATGCCGCCCAAGCTAGACGGCAGTAGAGGGAGTGTAAGGAGTGAAGCCAAAGGCGTGGAGGGGCAAGCCTGACGCCATGGCTGGCCTACCTAGGAGAATCATAAAGGTACATTCACCATGTAGAATCGCACGTTCCTTGAATAAAGTCGGTGTCCTTATGAACGTCAAACGTGCCAATGTCTTTCTTGTTTTGTCAGAGGCTTCCCCTGGCTCTAATCAACTGTTCTCACTTGTGTGCCACACAATACCTCGTGTCTTCATAAGTTTAACTAGCAGACATGTTGAACACCTACACACGAGATTTTCAACCTTCACCTGCGTACAGACAATTTATGTGGTGCTACGTTACTGTTTGTACAGGAGACCCAGCGGTTAATGGCAGAGCCAGTGCAGGGCATTCGAGCCGTTCCCGACGAACAAAATTCGAGATACTTTCACGTAGTCGTGGCCGGCCCTAAAGATGTCAGTAGTTTGGATGCTGAGAAACCATACCGTGTACAGACTTTAACGCTGTTGTGTGTGTGTTATGTTCTTGGTAGAGTCCTTATGAGGATGGGACGTACAAACTGGAACTGTTTCTACCAGACGAATACCCAATGGCTCCACCCAAAGTGCGCTTCATGACAAAAATATATCACCCGAACATCGACAAGCTCGGCAGGATATGCTTGGACATCTTGAAAGGTTCTTGTTGTGCTAGAGAATTTCGCGAGAATGATGTACGTCTGAGTAATTGAGCAGCACAGGAATGCATGTTGTGTGTTTGTGTATTCCGTTTTGGGAATACAATGTGTTTAGTGGTGTATATGTGAATGAAGAGAGATTGTGTATATAATTATATAGCAGTAAAATTATGAGAAAACTTTGTCACCGAACGGAAATTTAAAAAAAACTTTTATGCTAATGAATTGAGTTTCCTCCCCTTGAAAGTTTTTCAGTAATTCATTGAGGTCTTTTTACGTGTGTGTTGTGTGTGTGTGTGTGTGTGTGTGGTGCAGACAAGTGGAGTCCAGCACTACAGATAAGGACAGTACTGCTCTCCATACAAGCCTTGCTGTCTGCTCCCAACCCCGATGACCCTCTGGCAAACGATGTCGCTGAACAGTGGAAGAAAAACGAGTCCAAGGCCATTGAAACAGGTTCTACAACCACTTCCTTCCAGTGCAGATGTTTATGCACCCTCTTCCTCCATGTTTCACTAACTGCTTTCCCTCTCTATTTCCTGCTTCTCTTTTCCCTCCCCTTCTCCCTCTCTCTCCCTCTCTCTCTCTCTCTCTCTCTCTCCATTTTGCAGCACGGCAATGGAATAGACTCTACGCTACCACTAAGTAGGAAACTAGTCCCACAGTTGTTGTGTACCTATTATAATAATTATTGTGTAACCACTATAATATTTTCAAGTTTTATTAAACTACAAAATCCTGTGAGTGTTGTATTACAAAAAAATCTATGGACAAGTATACGGAGTCATCAATAGTTTACGGATTTCCGTATACTCCGCGTGCCCAAATTAATGGGAGAGAGCGTAGGAGGAGGATGAGTGAGTACAGTAGAGTATGAGCAGAAGAAGTCGAGAGTGGGCAAGGAAACCTAAGTGAGGGTCTCTTACAAGGTAATACTTACTGTAAATGCACGCATTCCGCAACTACCACGCTAATACTTTCAGTTGCGGAAGAAAAACGATACGAGGTATAATTTTACCGTGGAGATAAAGAAAACCGTCTTTGTGCGAGTGCACGTGTACCTAGTTAGAGTTTGGAACTACTGAGCTTGCACAGTTGCTCCTAGAATTGCTCCTAGAATTGCGTCCTAGCCGCCACTAGTGTCGTATGGATCCCCAAGGCCCTCGTCTCATCTCCCCATACCGTGCCCCCACCATCTCCGAGCGAAAAAAGTGGTTGTTCATGACGCAGGAGAAGCAGCCGGCGCCACGTACGTTCTCTGTCGTTACGGTACTCTAGCTGCATTAGACAAACAGTTCCGGGGATTGGGCATGCATACATTACTGTACGTTCTCGTGTATTGGGTGCATATCACCTATGCTATACAAGTGTACGAAAAATGTATACAGCTTGCCTGACTTGCTGGCCGAAACTAGGTAGAGCCCATGGTTTAGAGTAACTGTAAGGAAATGTAGTAAACATTGACCGCTTTTGGCTTTTGCTGTGGGTTCATAGGAGCGAAGTGTGCATTGCGTGTAGTACATTAATGTACGTGAACAAGTAGTGCTTTCAAACAGTGCGCTTGTCTCAGGGGGATCGGAAAAGCTCATGTGTCAACGTACACATGGGTGTGCTGTTAGGTGTTCGATAATTCGGTTCTGACTGCGTGCTAATCGATTGTGTGCGTGAATTGAGGCCCACAAAGGTAGCGGTACCCGTGGGATTAGGTATGGTCCTGATTTGGCCGTAGCTGACGGTCAGTTTGGTCATCGCAGCTGCTGTTGGCACTCTAGGGCACCGGGCTGGGGGAGTTTGAGTACCTCATGCCAGATGCATTACTAATTGTGCCAGTTTGAGAAAGTATTTTCATATGGGTGCACATGTACCCGAGGGAGAGAGGAGAGGAGATTCTGAGGAGAGTGATCAGGGAGAACTATGTACACCTCAGCCACTGGGTTGTTGTTTGTGGGCCAGAGTTTCATTGCTTGTTGTTGGTGTGCAACCACAGTGTATTGTCTTGTATGTGTGAAGGTAGTCATTGGTCTAGGGGGTGTATGTAGACACCTCAAAGAATCGCAATGGTCTGTCTGTATGCTTCCATTAGTGGAAAACTGTACTGCTTTATGGTGTGGAGTAAACGATGCAGTTGTACATTCTGTATATACACAAATGATTGTGAATCTGAAACAACACTAGACACTAGACCCTTCAGCTCAGTAGATTTGTATGTAAGATGAGCTCAGTCAGACTGTGCGGAGAGAGAAGTACTGATTAGCCTTCAGATGTGCAGTACACCAGGCATATTCAGCTCATCTGCCACTGGTCACCCAGTGGTGGCTTAGTGGTAAGAGCGCCTCGTCGACATTCAGGAGGTCTTGGGTTCGATTCTCAAAAATGGTCTCTGGCAGGGACTTCTCTCTTCACACATTACATACATAACTATTACTGTTGCATGCATACCGATATCAATCACTGCTAGGGTCTTCCTCCCCATTCCTGACATTGCACACTGTTGTGCACATGCCAAAGGAGCGGGGACACAATCTACTGTACTTGCTGTAAAATAGGAAAGAGCCAGTCACTCAGTGGATTTTTGACGTGCACCTGGCTGAGAACACTTGGTACTTTTTCGCCATTCCATGCAATGTCGGAGAATTCCTATTCATCATGTACACTAGTCTGCCCACCCGTAGCACAATGGATTATATTGTAGCATGCATCGGAGTGAGATGTGCACAGTGATAGCAGGCAACAAAGTATTTTTTTACTGACACTTTCAACTGCACGTCCTCATACCATTATACATCACGTGGTGTCAGGTGCATATCACAACAATTCACCAGTACCTAGAAACTACTTCCCCATCTGGGAATCAGACCCATGACACTGTTTTGTAGAGGAGTTCTCTACCAACTGAGCTGTACACGATAATTTATGCTGCGACTGGGGAAGGGGCAGATTTTACGCTGATCTGCACATGCTCATGTATTCACAGCTATGAGCGTGTGCAACAGATATTCACGACTGAAGGAGAGCGTATTCATGCGCGGGCACATACATAATGCCACGTGTTATTAATCTTATTAACCTGCTCTGACAGCTAGGTTCTAAATGCGTGGGTAGTTTAAAAAGTATGTGGGTTTACAAGAAGGGTGAAGTTCACAACCATACATGGCTCAGTGGTCGTGTCGCCTCGTTCTTAAAAAAAGTCTAGGTGGTGGCGATTGCTGAGTTTGCTCATTGGTGTATGTACCTCGCTATAGACTGGAAACTCCAATGTGAGCCTTCTAGAGCTGGCTAGGTATACTACTAAAGGAATGCAACACATCGTTGGCGAGCGAGCGCCAGCAGTTCAATATTTTGCTCATTTTGCCCGTATTTGTAATATTATGGTAGACCCCCTGATAGTTAATCATTGTTAATGAAAACCAAAAAATTTTCACTTAGTACATTTGTTCCCCTCATTGTGAAAGGTGCTAACGACAGAGAGCTCTGTGTTGCTAGACAGCATGTGTGCCTGTGTCAATCCACACCTGTTGTCATAATCCTTATGCCAACTGTAAAATGCCATCTATTGTAGAATCAATGGCTAACTTCTGTACTACAAAGGCTGTTAAACTGCTGGTGCTAAACTGCCAGAGCCAAGCCAAGCCCATGTGTCCATAATTACAGAATACAGTATAGCAGGTTTTTAAATTTATTTTCGTCTTTTATGACTCTAAATGCACTGCATCAAGTTTTTCGTTTGATGAAGATTACATAGAAAGAGCGAATAAATAAAATGCTATGTATATGAGAGGATGATGTAACATTATACAAATCCACTATGTGTTTTTACTACATTGTTGTAGTATCTTGCTCAATGGCAGTGTACTGGTTTTTTGTTGGGCAGAGTTTTCTCAAGAGCATTATTATGTACTGGGATGTCTTCATACTTTCGATTTCTAAAGTGGGGGAAGTTGAATGTAGCCGTGAAACAACAATCTCTCTTGTAGTGCTCCCAATTTCATGCACATCGATAAAAACGCCTCCCTTGAGCCCACCACGTACACATGCATCCACCTCCAGCAATGTTTTCGTGTGTGGATCTTTGCGCGTTTCTTTGATGTCTGTACGTACATGTTACATATAGCCATAGCCCTCCTGTGTGTATGTAAACAGCCCCTGTTTTTCTGGTCTTGACACAAGCCAAATGTTGTCTGTCTCTTAGTGGATACTATGACACTAGTACAGCAATTGCTTACTTTGCATACGTTCATGTACATACGTATAATAATATGCTAGCTTTCTCTATAAACATACTTGATGATGCCATATTATTGTGTGTGTGTAGGTTTATTTGCAACAAACACCCACTTACATACTTACCTCTTCATGTGTACGGCAGGTTTCGTAGCACGCATAAAGCTCTCTGTCATTTTGCTAGAATGCTACTTTGCTTTATCATTCTCTCTTTTCTCTGGTGCATGCATGTGTACCACAGATAGTACAGACGACCTAAAGGATGCATGTGGTAGTTCTCTAGCAGTATAGTTAGATTAATGAAACTGAAAATTATGTTGGTGTTATGCTGGAGTGCTGTGTATGTCTTTGGGCACAGGACCTAGAATGTACAGGGGGCTATAATTTATACACACGTAAATGCATGGGAGGATAGAAGCATTGAACACAGTAGTGCATCAGTGTAGCCCAAAGGGCTCTTACAGCGTGTAAACACGATTACTGAATATAGAGGTGATACCGGTACGTGTAGGTGTACGATGTACATATGGAGGTGTTTCCAATGGTCATAATGCATGAGAGCCGCCTCTGTAGCTGGAGTGATTCGTCCCATATAAAAGCTATACAGTTGACCAATAAACTACTTCGCAGTTGCAGTCACTATGGATGTTGTGTGTGCAAAACTGAAACCCTTCTCTGAATGTAGCTGCAGCTGTGAAACCTGGCTGGCCTCTGGTCTTCCGCTCCCCTCGTAACTCTCTCTCTCTCTCTCTCTCTCTCTCTCTCTCTCGTTATTCCATCTTCAGAACAAGTGCCCCCTCCCTCCCACGGTGTGTCTTGTTTTAAGGGGGTGCATACGTTATCAAGGGCATGTAAACATCAACTTAACTGGTCGCAAGGCGATGGCGATGGCGATGGCTAAGGCAAAGCAAACAACGCAACACAGCACATGTGTATTTTCACAATGTAATATGTGTAATAGCCGCACAGTGGTACATAAGTAGTTCGAGCTTTGTACCCAACATTCCTGCTCATGTGTATGTTACCTGATGTTTTCATTGAGTATGGAGGACATTCAGCGATCACACAGTGTAGCATACGTGACAGGGAAAGCCTTAGGAACGGGGCTATAGCCTGCTTCGTGCATGATACTTATAGTGTATGTAGAACTAGTTTTTCTTTAGGCCAGTACAAGTGGAGGGTGTATACAACAACAGCCTCCAACATTATGATAGGACTTCTTATTTTTGTTTGGAGCATGTTACAATGTGGAACTGTTGACATATTTATGTTTGTGTCTTTTGTTGAGACTATGCTGGTCATGCCTGTACCTCACTCCTTTCACGTTCTTTGTTCTCTTTCTTGGCTTCTCTTTCTCCTACACTTCTTGTGACCCAGTCAAACTATAGCGTCCCTATGATGTCAGACTGTTTGTGTACGTCTAGGGGGGGTATTGCAATAATTGCGCCATATATGTGTGTGGAAACCACGAATTAGAGATGCAGTCGGGCCAATAAACAGGATGTGTCTTCCCCCAAATAGCGTATATGGTACATAAATTGCCAGGTGTGTAGCGTCCAACCCACAATAGATTAGTGGTTACCTCAGACTGCTACAGGTATATACAGCATACATATTTCAAGATGCACATTGAAGTGTTGCAGTAAAACTACCAGTAAAGAGATCTACACGGAGGCGTTCTCTATAATGTTTTGATTTGCCACACCCCCTAAATGCACCCTGGAATACTGTAGCTGTTGATTATTCTGAACCGGGAAGGCTATAACAAGCAAGTGGGGGTGTAAGGAGTTTTTTTTTACAGGTGTTGAAGTGATGCCCATCTGTGCATTGGAGTGGTGTATATGACTTGACTGATTATTTGTGGAATTTTGTAGCTCCCTCGGTCCTCTCTTTGTTACTATAAATTGTATGTTTAAACTACCCTTTCTCGATCATCTTCTTCATAGCTTTACCATTTAATATTCTCCTATATATAGATCGAGGGGAGGATCTCACCAGCCAAAGGTATAGGGTCTGCACAACCCATAGTGCTATGCGCTAGAACGAATGCTTAGCAAGCAAACACAAGTAGTTTATTTTATGATATAGCTGCCCAAAGGAATCGTCCATAAACCACATGTTACCCATAAACCCCACTAGTCGAAGGTGTTCGTCATATAAGCCTATACAACGTTTTGCTGTTACTTATCCACACACACCGGTTTAAGGTAGTAGAGCCTTAATAACCTTTCCTTTCGGTCTAAATAACCATTGAAACCTTGCAAAGCCCCTCTTTACTGATATGTAATCAACTGCCACTTTCAGTATTGTCTGCATGCATAAGGCTGGCAGCAGCCTTACAGACTTGGATTTCAGTAAAACATTCCTTTTCTCTGCATTCGCTGAGATGAGCATGTACGTAATCTTCTCTGAGTTCACTAGAGGAAACCAACAAGTATAATTGACACCAATTAAACTTGCTTGTCTTCACTCTCTGAGTTGACAAAACTCAGTTGCTAAGTAGATTCCTTAAGTGTAATATGCAACTTGTAAACATTTCTTTCTGCAGTCCCTCACTAAACAAACTGCGACTGTCAACAGCTGCTAAACTCCGAAGAGCACCTCAATTCTTCCGTATAAACAAAAAGATGAACAAGAAGCCTCCCATCCCTGAGAAATCAGAGCGGATCAAGAACCTGCCTGTGCCTCGACCTAGGAATGCCCCCCTCCTCCGAAACCACTGCCGTACAATGTACACAGGTCAGAAATGGCAAAGAAGCCAGACCCAGCACCGCGAAAGGTGACCAGACAGGGAAACGGCATTCCCTCCAGCGTCACGAATCACCAGACCACTACAGGTAGTCATGAGACCACTAATTCAGGTAGCGAGGAGACCTCCCCCCCTCGTCCAACCCACCCCCGTGCGAAATTTCCAAAACCAAGCCCCTCTAGGTTACGCTCGACCGGGATTACTTCTAGACCTCGTCTCGATACCCCAGTCACTCCACCCAACCTGAACACGGTGCCTCAAAATGGAGTCTCATCTCCTCCAGTCCCTGCGGTAAGAGGAGGGACTGCAGCTACACCCCCACCGACAAGGCCCCGCCATTTCCCCCCCGAAAACAAGAAGTCCTCCATAGCCGTGAACGGTCGTGGAAAGATGCCCCTGCCGCCTGTCCCAAGAGACCAACAAGGCTCTAGAGGTAGTGGAGAAGCCAGTGTACAGGTGTACTCAGAGGCATTAGATGAAGGTTCCGTTTCTGAAAAGGCAGTAGATGACGAGGAGAATGAGCTGTATTCGACTATCAGTGACTCTCCACGATGTGTAAGAACACCTACTCCATCTAAGACTCCACCCTCTGGTTCCATGACCCCACCTTTGCCAGCCTCCTCACTCCTCGCACACTTCTTCACCTACCATTGTTTCTTCACCCGGGAGTGAGTACAGCGTGACTAGCCACACCGCTGCTGCTAAGAACTCCGGGACGAAAATCAACTCACCTCTTGCCGTTCCTAACCCCACTCCACCTGACACATATTCCATGCTCGCGAGACCGGATCAACCCAACAAGCCCTTCAATCAGGTTACAAGTGGGGAAATGTACTCGTCATTGGAGTTGGACGGGATTCAGCAGCTGGCCCCTCCAGTTAAACCTGCTTATCTGGTATGGTGTTCAAATTATGTGCATGTTTTTCGTAGTAATTGCTAGTGACACGTTTTTCCTTTCCATTTCAATCAAGTCCCTCTCATGAAGTAAACCAAATCACAACTATGTTGTTTACTTGTAGGAAAGTAGTATCTACTGATAAACACTCTCACCGGAGTGTGATAATGTGCGTACAATTGTCTCTTTTGTAGGATGAGGGATATAGCCATTTGGAATTTGATGGAACTGTCGGCTACTAACTTACAAGCTGGTGCAGAACACTACGAGGTGAACACTAGTCCAGTGGGAGCCGATGACTCGCCGGTAAGAAGCGTACGGCGGGCTACAAATCCCGCTAGCATGGCCATTTACGAGGAGGTGTCCCCTCAAGACGAAAATGTCCCGAACTGTACTAGTGAGAAGAAGCACAGACCTTTGGGCTACACTAAATCAGTGCCACTGGAGGAGAAAACATCGCAAACCATTCCACAGGCGAAACCCAAGGTTGTTCCACGGCAGAACCTAGAGCTGCATGATCAAACCTCAATAACTAGTGAGTGGGGAAAACATGCAGAGGAAGTGGTTGATGATGTCACAGGTAATGTTGTGGGTGTGGTGAAACTTGCACCAGCTCCGGCCCCAAGATCTTGGAAAAAATCAAAGACGCTTCAAAATGATAGTGGTTTTGGGCAAGGAGACGAGGGTAGGTTTGGTTATTTTGGGATTCACAAGAGCCTTGCATGGAAGATGAAGACCTTTATACCATTCCTCTTAATGCTGAGAATGAGAACACCCCTGAGCCTTCGCCGTCTATTCAAGAGATGATGGAAGCAGTTGAGGCTATACCCCTTGAAAGTGTCCATTTTGCGACTTCTGGTCAGGAAACCTGGAGTGTAAGTAAAGAACGGGTAGATCGCAAAATACAGCATCAACAGCCTCTTTCAGCGGATTTGGATGAGGGCGTAGTACAAACAGCAACTGTGGAAGATGGCAGAGAAAGTAGCTCTTCTTTTCTGCGAGAGTGTCTGAGCGAGTTTGATAAAATAAAGAGCAGTGAGCTTCCTTCGAATAGTCCGACACACATAATGGTCAACATTGATGAAATGAACCAACAGAAAGATCAGGGGGGAAATGAAGGAGTGCCTGAAGACGAGGTTAAAAGACAGGGAGATGTCGATGATGAAAAGAGTCACAGGCATTCGTATGAAAATCAGGTTATAGTTGATCAGAACAAAGACGGAAATAACGAGTGCGATGTACTAGTTGTAGAACACTATGAAATGAACACCGTCAATCCTACAGAAGAGTCCACACATAATTCACAAGGAGCTGTAGGTGAGGATTTATCACAGACTGTGAAAAAACCTGCTATAGAACTCGATGATCAGGGATACTGCAAGGTCGAGGTGAGCAAAAATAAAGATCAAAGTTTGAGCCTGGTGGAGGACGTGTTGAGCCACTTTGAGAACACCACCCTGAGTGATCTGCCTCCTCTCTCTCAAGACGATGACATTACCAACTACGACATGAAGACAGTGGAACATCCACCGGTGACAACCAATGCCCAGGGTTATTCCTACTGTGGCATTGACCTGAGAAGTCCAAGTGAGCTGACGGCTGGAGGTACTGGCTTTAGCACCTCTCACGACAACAGTGGATATCCTGCTGCTCCCGATCCACCACCACCCAGAGGCTATACAGGGATTGAAGTGTCCAGCTCAGGAGTAGTAGTTGATCACCCTACAGAGCGAGAGGATCATGCTGAAAGAGACCCTAGACCACCCGAAACAGCACCCAAACCTTCCAGAAGAAAGGGAGAGCCTTTCAAGCCACTTGATAATGCTGAGATGCGTGGAGAAGTAGCTGAAGTAGAGGAAGGCTTGCTTCAGGCTGCTGTAGAGGAGGATACCAAAACAGAATTGTCTGACACTGACAGTCTCTATGCCAGGGTTCTGGATGTCACAAAAGAGCCTAGTAACAAAGTTGATTCTTCCCCAAAACCGTCTCCCAAACCTAAGAGAAAGAAGCAGGCCGCTGGAGGCGTAGGTAAACCAAAGGCCAAGAAAAAAGGTCAGGGACCCCCTCGAAGACGCCCCCCGCCACCTCCACCCCCTGGGGCCAGAATTCCTGGAAGTGCTCTGCTCCCCCCAACTACTTCCACTGTTCCTCCCACCCCACCATTCTCAGCTCCTTGCCTGAAGATGTCCACACAGTCCGAGGCAGAGCACAGATTCGAGCAGACACTTCCCCCGTTCCCGTCCTACCAACCTGCAAACCAAGGCTCGCCTTTACATCAGCCAGCTTCCGCGGCAGATGATTCCTTCACTTCCTCTCTTCCACCCTTGCCTCCATTGCTCGGGTCTCCGAAGCTCCCCGGGAGAAAAGGGCCTCTCCCTCCCTCACCTACCGCAGGATCGCCACAGACAGGGGATCCTCCATCCCCCATACACCGTCGAGGGCTCCTCAACAGGATCAAAAGCAGCTCGCTGAAAACACGAAAACCAGACAACCACTCCCCAACAACAGTTTCGCCTCTCCTGGCGGACGAATTTGGGAGAGTAGGCGGTGATCAGTCCCCGAAAGTCGGGTGGAAGAACAAGTTTCGGTTTCGTCGCGGTTCTGGAAACAGTGCTTCAACCATGGATAGCAGCATGCCTGGCGAAGAATATGTAGGTGAAGCGTGTGGAGGGGCAGGGCACGGAGAGTCGCGGAAGAGGCGCAACCAGGAAGACAAACTTCCAGAGGTTCCTCCCACAGCCAAGTCGCGCAGCCTTCCCTCACCTTCTCGGCAAGGGATCCACCGACATCCGTATGATGGAGAGGAAGAGGAAATTGAAGATGGTCTTTACTCTGTTGTCAACAAACCAGCGAAGACTGTGCAGCGGCCTCAGGTACGTAAGTGCATACTCCTCCTGCCTTGTGATCATAGTGGAGCTCTGCATGCTGCCAGCTGCCCCTGAGTTAGCTGGTGAAGGGTTAATGTAATATTCCTGTACACCTTGTTAATATGGTATGTTAGGTTGTCAATGTGTAACGAGTACTCTACAATGCTACAGCCACTACTTGTACACACGTTGTAGTGTTCTTGTGAGTGGTATGTACAGTTTCTAGTAATGTGTGGCAGATTCATTGTTTGCCATTCCCAAAACTGGGAAAGCTGCTGACTCAGGGAGTGCAGTGAACCCCCTTTGCTGTGTGGGCATGCTTGTAACCATGCATGGTTAGCATAAGACGCAGCTATATAGGCTTCAATCAGGTGAAAGTTCCACAGTTTAGTCAGAGTTGCTACTGCCATCAACATTAGTAGCCTTGCTCTTACCTAGCTCTGCTCAATGTGTAGACCAGCATCGAGTCTTAGCTTTGCTACTTTTCTTAGCTAGTGAAATGGCTGCCATGTGCAGAGATACGCTGATGCTTCCAGCAAGAGTCAAACCAGTTCCAAAGAGACGTACAAAGATCTACAAGCATCCTCTCTTTCTAGTGAGTCGTGTGCCATACGATTGAGCCGTATGTACACATATCTCAGTTGCTAGACTGGATCAGTTTTTGGCCTGCATAAAATTGCAGTGTGCGAGTGTTTGGTGCATGAATCCCTCTGCTGTACATGCTTCAAATGTTTTCACTTGATGGCCTCGCAGTGTGCCCACCCTTCTACTGACACTGGGTGTACACATGCATGCATTGTTTAGCTCCTCTTCCAAAATCACAAGTGTGTAGTAACAATGTGTCTGTAGAGTCTTATGAAGTCAATTTTATGCAGGCTGCAGCGATCAAAGCAGAAGCGACAGGGGGAGAGGGAAATGATGATGCTTCGAAGGCATACGAGGTCGTCATACCACCATCCTTGGTGCGAGCAAGAACTGGATCTCGTGGTAAGAATGATGCCATGAGAAAATCAAGCTCTGTGGAACACTTGGAGCAAGAGGATGCCCCCGACCTCGATGAGGCAGTCGAGCAAGGAGAAAGAGTGGTTATACTGGGTTCTCACTCCGCCACCTCCTCTCCCATCCTTCCTCGTCGCAGGCCTCGACAAGGCGGTGCCGAGGAAGGCTTGCCTGATCCCGTGCATCGGGGGTTTCACCTTGGCACACTTCCGCGCAGCAGGAAACCTCCTGTGGCCCCTCCCCCAAAGACCCGCCATGTTTACGCGACAGTTAGCAAGAGCGAGGAAGCTGCTGCTGCTGCTGCTGCTGCAAAGGGAAGTCCTCCTAGCACTCTACCAAAGCCGAAGAGAGGTGTAGAAGGAGGTGTTGTGAACACTACCCAGGAGACAAATCCAAGGCCTGAAGGAGCTTCAGCAAATTTTGATATACCGATGCTCGAAGTCCTAGCACCGCTCGATGCAGCAGTGTCTTTACCTTACATGATGGACTGCGGAAGAGTGGATGATGTTCTGATGCCCGATGCCAGTGCAAGTGACAAACAATATGACGAGGACGCTGTTTCTCTTCAGGGCCTTCCGAGCTCAGAGATACGCCACGAACGGGCAGAGGACGGTCACATCTACGCTGTTGTAGACAAAAAAGTAAGAAGAAAAAGAAGAAAAAGCCAGAGCCAGTTGAAAAAGAAAATGTTGATTGTGCCCAAGGAACTGCTCCATTTGCACTTAGCATAGGTGGAGGAGATGAAGCACACCCAAAGTCTCCTACCAGAAAGCCACCAGTCAAACCACCTCGTGTGAAACCACTGAAACCGGCTCCGTACGTGTCTCGAGTAGGGAGCCCCATCCCTGCCATTTTGGCTGCAGCAGCAGCCGAGTGTTCCTCCCCCGTGCCTCCCCTCTCGCCCAGAAATTGCTCGCCCCCCACCATTCCAGGTCGTCTCCCCACGACTGTTGAGGCGCCTCGCTCACCACTTCCTCAGTTGTCGCCACTCACTGCTTCCCCTTTCCCTCCAGGTATAGTAATGTATAAGTATTGTGGAATCGCACAATGCTGGAAGTAGCTCTGCTAATTCATTTGGATTGGTGAGCATTTGTTAGCTGTCCCTTCTATCTGATGCAGGCTTTACAGTGCCGCCTGATGTGAAGCAGCAGAGTGTCAGACTGTCAATGGTTGGTCCCCCCTCTTTCCCTCCTCCCCCTCCCCCAGAAGATGCCTCTTCTTCCCCTCCCCTTGGACACACATACGAGGCACCTCCCACACTAGCGAACGGCAGGTGTACAGGAGATGCTACTCCTAAAGTTCCCAAGGAGCCAGCGAAACCACCACCCACTGCTGCATTTGCAATAGACGACGACATTGAAGACGAAAGAACGCCCGGTTACGAAATTGTTACAAGGGTGAAAAAGAGCAGAGCAAAGTCGGCAAAGAAAAGTTCCCGTGTAGATGCACCTGTTAACGAATCGCCTCCTACAAAGCAAAGGTCGCTTCCAGAAGATATCGTCGCGGGCCTGAAGCCCCCACTCCCTGCTCCTGCTCTTTTTAAGGACGTAAATGCAAAGTCTTCGGCACGCTCGGCTGTTACCCAACGCTCACCCCACCTCTACGAAGCTGTCTCGGACGATGTTATTGAGAGTAACAGACCTAACCAACCTTTGCCCAATGTGGCCGTCCCACGATGTTCACACACATACGAGACACTGGAAGATGTCAAGAAGGCTCGACCAACGAAAGGGCGTCCCTTGACCACAAAGAAGCGACCCCCTCCCCCTGCTCCTCCCACCAAACCAGACAACGGACCACCGATTGCTGAGACGACTGATGGTGCTACTGATCTTCCGACAAGTAGGGTGGCTCGACGGAGTGCCCTCAACAGTAGCAGCAGTATAGTGTCTCCTGTTACAGAGATTGTATCCAACCCGATGTCGTATCTTGGAGCCAACATGGCTGGGAAGCGGTTGACAGTCGATATCCAGTATGATGCTGACGAGGAAGAAGAAAGAGAAACAAATGAGCCGAAGTTTCTCTTCACCAAGGGGCGTCTCTCCCATTTTATCCCTGTAAGTTTAGGAGTTGAAGGTCTGCAAGATGAAGTGTAATATAGCAGAATCCCCTCTAGACTACGCTTGATTTCCTCGGCGTATATAGAGTTCCGCTAGTGAAGTTTTGGTGTTTAAACCTACGTACATTCTACGTCTGTGTTGACTCTCTGCAGAAAAAAATATGCACAGTCCTTATAAACCTTGGTGTGATAAAAAGTGATGGATTTTTTCCACGAGAGTTCTTTATAAAAAATAAAATAAAAAGCGTAGTCGGCAGGATTCGAACCTGCGCGGGCAGAGCCCAATGGATTTCTAGTCCATCGCCTTAACCACTCGGCCACGACTACAGCTTGCTTTACAGCCCACCTGAAAATGAGTCAGGCGCCTATGCAAACACAACTGCCAGGAAATTGATGGTGGGCTGAATAGGAAGCAGCTCATCCTCAAAAGCAGCAGACACAGCACGTAGCTTCAGTAGAAGCAGCAGTTCTATAGTCAGTTGGAAGTGCATGTGTACTTATCAAGTGTAGCTATATTTGTTCACTGCCTGTGTAACTGGTAAGTATAAGTGACTCTGTATCATGGGAGTTCAGTAGAAACTCTATGTATACATAATTATGATATACATCAACGTATTAGACTTAGCTATTGCCACTGTATTACTATGGTACATGTACATACTGTATGCTACATGGTCCTGGTGCACAATCTGTTGGTGGCTATTATGGTAAAGCCGGAATGTTAGCTACTGCATTGAGCCAATGGAGAGAGTTAAAGAGAAAGAGAAAGTCCATGGGAGAGAGAAATAAGGGATGAATTAGAAGGCTTCTGAGGAAGTCTGTGGTGAAAACTATCGCTTCACTGTTGTTAGAGACTATGGAACTATGTCACTGCAGGTTGGCCAGGAAAAGCCAGAGGCAGTAGCACTGAGCCCTGGCCATAGCTCCACCACCCAGAGTTCGAGCAGTGTCAGTGTGTATGAGGAGGACTCGGACGCAGACATAATGTACTCGACGGAATGGGAATCGACCAGTGGTGAGGAGGACGAGGAGGAAGAGGAGGAGGAGGAAGAAGGAGAGGAAGGAAGAGTGATCGCACACAAGCCACCGAGGACCAAGACCTTCTACATTGCGCAGGAGATTCTAACAACCGAAAGAACGTGAGTACATGTGTCATAGCTTACGGTCGTTTTAGGATGCACGTGTTGGTTTAGTCCACCTACAAATACCCCTGAAGTCGGAAGAAGTGTGATTTCTCACGGATCGGGGACATTTGGCCTGAATCGGTTGTTTCTATACTGCATTAGCCCTTACGTAATAGTCGGTTGTAAACCTAGTCAGCGAGAAATTTGCAGGGATCCATTATTATGTTAGAGTGCAGCTATGCCGTGTCAGGTTCACATGCTAAGTAAGTAATATGGCAGACCACACAGAAGAACCCAGCTTTATGCACGCTCTGCTGTCACTTTGCTGTCACTTGATGCTAGGGTAGACAATGAGCCTTAATCTTACACTTGGGACTTTAGCCTCTTCTTACCAGTTACGTATATCTCTTGTTGCATCACAGTCTTTATTGATGCTAGGGTAGACAATGAGCCTTAATCCTACACTGGGGACTATAGCCTCTCTTATATACCAGTTATCTCTTGTTGTGTGGAGTCTTTATTGATGCTAGGCTAGACAATGCAGTGCTGGGTGACTATAGCTGTTCTGGGTGACTGTAGCTGTTCTATCTCAGTGGTTGTTTGTGCTGGAGGCTAGAGTTTCCAGTTATCTCTTGTGGCTGTGTACTAGTGTAAATCCTGCTGATTGATTCCCTATGTGTGCTAATGCTGTGGCTGTAGTAGTGGAATGGGGCTTGGCAGCTGGGTTGGGAAGAGTGTCTTTATCACTCCTTCTCCAGGTGTGTGGCTTCTCAAAGGGATGCAAATTGAATACCTGAGGCCCTGTTGCAGGATGCTTGTCAATTCTTTCCCTGTCTATCTTCCTGTCTCCTTTTCCTTCTTCCTTCCCCTCCACCTGTCGACCTCCTCACTACTCACTCCTTCTTACACCCTTGCTCCCTCTATTACTGACTCATCTTTCCCCATCTTGAACAGTGCTTTGTCATTTTTGTAAAACTACTCATCTTTCCCAAAGAACTGTGCATTGGGATTTGTGCTAAACGAAAAGCAAAAGAACCACTACTAGAAATGCTGTAAACTGAAAACCAAGCACGTTACCATAGAGAGGATAGAGTGTAAACTAGTAAACCAGTCAACCGGTGAAATAGTGAACCAGAGAACCAGTGAATGTCCTGTTTGTTTGACAACCAATGCACATGTGCTTGCAATCAAATTTTTCTCTCCCCTCTTCCTCTCTTCCTATTTCCATTCCTCTCTCTCTCTCTCTCTCTCTCTCTCTCTCTCTTCCGCTACCTCCAGGTACGTGAAGGGGCTGAAGCTGATCGACCGTGACTTCCGTTCCACCATTCTCTCGGCAAACAGAGCCCACGACAAGCCGATCCTGTCGGAGGACACACTCAAGCTGATCCTAGGCAACGTCAGCAGCATTCTGACACTCAATGCTGGCATGTTGGCAGAGCTGGAGGAGAGGATGAAGATGTGGTCAGTGGAATTTGGCATTAGAACCCCTTGATTAGATCCGTGACCGACCCCCTTAGCATAGAAACCCCTCTGTTAGACCCCTCACTCTTAGCATAGGAACCCCTCTGTTAGACCCCTCACTTTTAGCATATAAACCCCTCTATTAGACCCCTCACTTTTAGCCTGCATAGGAACCCTCTATTACACCCCTCACTTTTAGCATATTATGAACCCCTCTCTGAATTTAGAACAAAGAAGCCTATCCGTTGTTAAGGCCCTTTTTCATTCAAGCTTTATACATGCAGCAAAACAAGTGATTTTAGTATTTCCTGTCACCATTACCTCACCTTACCCTCTGACTTATATCATCTGTAACAGTATATACATATATCCTTACGTAATATTACATCATACATCATAATTGTTCCCAGGGACACCGACCCAAGAATTGGTGACATCATCCTCAACAGGGCACCCTACCTCAAGGTTTGTGGGAGCAAATTGACTATCATTTATACAGATGTGTATTAGTATGCATGCATGTATACATTACATACACCCAGTTGTACATACAATATGTACATATACACGCACCACATGACTTGGGAGTGATTTGTTACTAAGCTCTCAGACTGGTGGTCACCTGTGTCTATATACTAAGCTTCAGTATATGATACAGACAACCACATCCTCCGTTGCTAATGTCCACATCCTCCTTTACTATCATAATCATGGCAGCTCTTCTCTTGACTTGTCCCTCTTATCAAACTGTCCATAAGTGAAAGAAGTCCTTGCGTATTTAACCGTTCTATCACATGCTTATTGGTTGGACGGCACCCCCGTGCAGCACACTTGCATTGAATTCCTTCATCATATTCTATCTGCTCGCGCTCGACTTCTATCCTGATTCACTTCATCTTCGCCCTCACCTTCAGTGGAGGTTATAAAGAAGAAGAAGAAGAAGAAGAAGTTTGGTGCATGCAAAGTTGTCCATACCTACATACATACATTTTCACAGAACTGATGCTTGGGAGTGTTTATTCAACTTCGAATGTGACATAATAACCGTCTGGTTTGCCACAACATTTGCGTGTTAAGCAAAACTAATGCAAGAGGTTTTTTCGATGCTCGACAGCGGATATGCCGAGTTATGTGACTCCTAGTGAAATCCTCCTGCCATGCAGAACTGTAACCCTCTGCTGCTGCCCATATGTGCTGAGGGTTAGCTAGCTAGACAGCGCTAATCTTCTTTTCTTAGGGCCTACTCTAGACAGTCTAGACCGTTAAATCGGATTTTAGCATAATTTGTTGCGGTTTGGAACCACGGTTTGTTTGTGCAGATCTTTCTTTTCCCCCTCCCACTCCTCCCTTCTTTCTCTGTTCACTGGTGCATTTTCAATGCAGATTTATAGCGAGTACATCAGTCGATTCGACAAGGCTCTCAAAACGCTGGAGGAGGCGACGAGGAAGAATCCCAACTTTGCGCGAGCTCTCCGCGAGTTTGAGGCACAGCCGTCGTGTGCCCAGCTCCCTCTCGCCGGCTACATGTTGGAGACTGTCCAGAGAATACCGAGATATAAACTTCTCCTGACAGGTATATAATAGAATACCGAGATATAAACTTCTCCTGACGGGTATATAATAGAATACCGAGATATAAACTTCTCCTGACGGGTATATAATAGATTACCGAGATATAAACTTCTCCTGACAGGTATAATTATAATAGAATACCGAGATATAAACTTCTCCTGACAGGTATAAATACCGAGATAATAGAATAAACTGACAGGTAATCAGGATTTGTTTTGTAATCGCCTAGCGTACCGAGCCCCTTTGCTCGTCAGAGTAGGTGTTGCGCTTGCTCTAGATGTTAGACAATTAGAAAGTCTATGGAGTGCGCGACCTTTGGACCATCAATAGTCAGTGGTCACGGTAGTGATTCAGATATTCTCGCTTCACTCACCAACTAATGAAGTAATGTGACTGAAGAGAAGAAAGAGAGGAATGGAGGATGAGTGGGGAGAGAGGGTGGGAGGGGGTGCAGGTGAGAAAGACAGAGAGAGAGGTTAGAGAGCAGCCTGAGTAAAAGAGAAGAGAGAGAATGGGGATGGTGGGGAGAGAGGGTGGGAGCAGGTGGAAAGACGAGAGAGAGAGGTTAAGAGAGCCAGCCTTGAGAGTAAAAGAGAAGAAAGAGAGGAATGGAGGATGAGTGGGGAGAGAGGGTGGGAGGGGGTGCAGGTGAGAAAGACAGAGAGAGAGAGGTTAAGAGAGCCAGCCTTGAGAGTAAAAGAGAAGAAAGAGAGGAATGGAGATGAGTGGGGAGAGAGGGTGCAGGTGAGAAAGACAGAGAGAGAGAGGTTAAGAGAGCCAGCCTTGAAAGTACTATTGTACTGTAAGTGAATGTGCATAACATGACATGAGGTTGCCTCTTTGTCTATGCTATGAAACAGTATCCAACGAGTGGGTACCACGGGGTGTGTGTTTAATGAAAATGAACCCAGCTATTTTCAGCTATCGTCAAATGTAGTCTGTTGTTGTAGGGTGGTCTGTAAACACATTAATGTTCATAGTATTCCCCTCCTCCACCTCTCTCTCCTCCTCCTCTCACCTCCTCTCACCTCCTCCTCTCACCTCTTCCTCCTCTCACCTCCTCCTCTCCTCCTCCTCCTCTCACCTCCTCCTCCTCCTCCTCTCACCTCCTCCTCCTCAGATTATGTCAAGCACTTGCCAGAGAACTCACCAGACAGAACACCTAGTGAAAGTGAGTTTGTTTAATGTGTGGTTGTATCATTTGCCAAGGAAAAAAACTTTCAATAATTTCTCCCTCTTTTGTCCTTTGCAGAGGCTCTGGGTATCATTTCGTCTGTTGCAACACACGTCAATGAAACCATCAGGCAAATGGTATGTTAGACCAACATGTACATCCCCACTCGCAAATCTTGGGAATGCCACTGCATGTTAGCCAAATACTGCATACAAAATGAGGGGCACCTGAATAGTCGACGTCCCCTTATTCAGAGGTTAAACATGCTCGAAACTGCATCTGTTTTTGACAAAAGTGTAAATACGTAATTCTGTGGTGACTATAATAGTCAATGAAGCAAGAACCTAGCTATATACACCATGAGAAGAGAGCGATCATATCCAGTGTTGATGGTTAGTGCCACATGTGGTGGTGGTGGGAATAGTAGAGGAGTTGGCTCTAGCTAAATAATAGATCTATACATCTTTGTGTGTATGTTTGCAGGACAACTTCAAGAAGGTGATGGAAGTGAGGAAGAAGCTGATTGGAGACACCGGAGACACTCTGATCACTCCGTACAGGGTAAGTCTGTAACTGACTCCATCGCCAATAGATGTTCTATGGTAGATGGACGTGATGCAGTTTTAGCAAGCAGATGCTAGTGTGGAATTTCAGCAGTTTTATATATACACACTTAGAGGCACATATAAGAGAAAGAGCTGTCCTGGGTGTAGTTGACTTGTTGGCCTTGCCTTGCCTTTCTACCTCGCTACCAAGTTGCTGAGACATGTACTGTGTAATGGTGACAGCAGGGGGCACGTGGTCTAATAATAGCAATTAAAGATTCAAAAGACTGGGTACAGGCTCACTTCACTTGCCAACTACTATAAGACCCTTGTATAATGCACCTGTTACGTGTGCTACAGAAGCTGATCAAGGAGGGGATGCTACTCAAGTTCTCAAGAAAAGAGCCACAGCCTCGAATGTTCTTCCTGGTAAGCCGTGTTCCTCCGTTATTTCATGCCTTCATAACCCGATTCTCCCATTCCACAGTTCAACGATATCTTGATATACGCCTCCTCAATCCCTCCCACAAACGCCACGTACAAGGTATATACACACTGTGGATTCATCAATTCATAGCAAGCAATGTTAGTCATGCATGCAGAGCCATGCACAGGTATCACTGATCTTTTGTCTTGTGTTTGTTGTAGTGCATTGTTGTAAGAGCCCTTTCTACTGCCTATTGAGCTGCCCCGTTAGCCCATTGTGCAGAGTGAGCAGAGCGTCTGGTTCTGAGCCACGGGCAGCTCTTTTCATGTACCACTGTGTTCACGCTCCATGTGCATGTGCTGTACATGTGCATGTGTCTGTGTTTCATGTATAATTATACCACTGTGTTTAATGTATATACCACTGTGTTTCATGTATAATTGTTTCATGTATATACCACTGTGTTTCATGTATAATTATACCACTGTGTTTCATGTATAATTATACCACTGCGTGTTCACGCCCCATGTGCATGTGCTGTACATGTGCACGTGTGTCTGTGTGTGTAGGTGATCAAGAGAATCCCCCTCGAAGGAATGAGAGTCGAGATGTTGAATGATCCCGACATGAGACATGGGTTTCAGATCATCTCCACCTGCAAGTCTTTCCGACTGGAGGCCAGGTACGTGTACGCATGCATGTATTGGTGTCAAAAAGAAAATATTCTTCAATTTGCATGCATTGGTGTTATTACAATGCACATAATATTGGCCTTGTCATGTATGATACTCTTCAATCTGAAAAATGGCGTGATAAATCGCGAAAATATTCGTCAGTTTGGCTCTTTGATTCAGAAACAACTGGCCAGTGAGGGAGCCTACTACCTAATCGTCTCCCTAACACCGTAATAATAGTTACGTGATTCTAAATACACGTGCGAAAAATTGAATTGAACTACTCGTGTTCATGCTCGCCAAAAATGTGTGTCCATTTGTTCTAGTGATGATGCTTTTCTCTGACATTATTTGTCAACGTACACTCCAGTTCAAATGAGGACCTGCATCAGTGGATGAGTGCCTTTGACACAGCCATCAAGGAGCACCGGGAGAAGGCACAGAGCAGACGCTCCATCAGAGAACAGCTCAACCCTGTGAGTCTGTCACATGACAATCACCTGACATCACGTGATCAAGTTGTGAAGTCTAGGGTCCAGTTGTGCATGTGTCAATAATCGGTGGCAAGGACTAATGTATAGCAACCTGCGAACTTTTTACTGCAAAATCTTCCCCTTGAAACTACATCGTAGCTATAATATGATATTTACCTCTACTGTACTGACTCTTTTTGTTACCGAATGTTTGCTACTGTACTCTACTGACTGTACTGTAGTTAGATAATGTGTGTGTGTGTCCATAGGACGGAGGGGAGGAGTGTGAAAGAATACCACTGGGTCACCTGGCGCCCCCCTGGCTCCCGGACAGTGCCGTGAGCATGTGTCAGTTGTGCAGTGTCCAGTTCACCGTCACACGCAGGAGACATCACTGCAGAGCATGTGGACAGGTGAGCACTGAAGAGCGTATTACTGTACCACTTTGACTTGTGGGCATAATATGTCACATGTCTGCTTGCCCCATGGTTTGTGTGTACATCCTTCATTTTGGTCTACATGTCCTATACAGTTCAAAATCCAAGTGCGTTTGTCCATTTCAAGAAATGTAGCTCAAAACAAACTCTTTTGTGAACTGGTGACTGTTGCACGTTGTGGTGCTACACCGCTTAGATATTTCAGGATTTATATGTTCAAACTGAGCTGTGGAATTGACAATGGCTTGAGTTGGTAGTTGTAAAGTGGTCAAAACCGAAAGCTGAGCAGTTGTCCACACAATTAAAATAACATGGAAAAGGTGGTTGGTAACGCTTTCTACATACGGTATTTGCACATCCCAGTAAAGTAAACGAAACCTAGAATACCACAAACAGTATCAGTATTAAAAGTATCAGTGTTATTGTATTTGCTTTCTCCCCCAGATCTTCTGCTCGGATTGCTCCAGCTACCTCGCCCCACTTCGGTACAAGAGCGACAAACTGGGCCGCGTTTGTCAGTCGTGCTACGAGGGCATCAATGGTAAGACAAAACACCTTTATCGTAGTCCAGCGTGTTTTCCCTCAAACCGGTTGTCTGTTTTGCCACGTTTCCATTCGCGGAGGTCTGTATTATCTCTCTCGCGTGTCACTCTGTGTCAGGTGTGAATGGCTGATAGTGACAAGCGAAATTTTACAAGGTTTAGGATTGCTTATCACTTGCCTAAACTGTTGCCTATCTCTTTCCTCCCACTCACGGGTGCAGTAGCTGGCACATAAGGGCGGCGTACGTTTCTACATACATTCTGTGGGGGTACCACAATTAGTTTACTTTCTGGTCAAAATTTAAATCATAGCCGAATAGCCATCGTAATATACATTATATGCCTGCCTAGTCATACACTCATTTATTGCTGAAAGCTGACGCTTCTAGCATTCCATTAAGTTTGCCCTCATAGCAATTGTATATCTCTCCTCCCTCTTCCCTCGTACTTTTTCCACTTCTCCGTCTCCCCTAATCTTCCCGCTTTCTCCTCAATCTCTTCTCTCCCCTCATCTCACTTTCTCCTCCATTTCTTCTCTCCCCCTCTCATCCTTCTCCTCTCTCTCCTCCTCTCTTCTCTCTCCTCTCTCTCTCCCCTCATCTCTCTCACTTTCTCCTCCATCTCTTTCTCTCCCCTCGTCTTCTCACTTTCCTCCTCCATCTCTTCTCTCCCCTCATCTTCTCACCTTTCTCCTCCATCTCTTCTCTCCCCCTCGTCTTCTCTCACTTCTCTCCTCCATCTCTTCTCTCTCCCTCTTCTTCTCACTTTCTCCTCCATCTCTTCTCTCCCCGTCGTCTTCTCCCTTTCGTCCTCCTCTCTTCTCTTCTCTCCCCTCGTTCTTCTCCCTTTCTCCTCCATCTCTTCTCTCCCCTCGTCTTCTCCTTTCTCCTCCCTCTCTTCTCTCCCCTCATTTTCTCCTCCCTTTCTCCTCCATCTCTCTCTCATCCCCTCGTCTTCTCCCTTTCTCCTCCATCTCTTCTCTCCCCTCTTCTTCTCACTTTCTCCTCCATCTCTTCTCTCCCCTCGTCTTCTCACTTTCTCCTCCATCTCTTCTCTCCCCTCGTCTTCTCACTTTCTCCTCCATCTCTTCTCTCCCCTCATTTTCTCACTTTCTCCTCAATCTCTTCTCTCCCCTCCTCTTCTCTCAGGGGTAAGTGGCCCGGGTGACGACAGATCACTAAAGAGAGGCGTGGCAAGTCGGCCGGGTAAACCCCTGAAGATTAACCTCCCGTCGGTACTGAAGGAAGTGAAGGCCAGAGATCAGAACGCACAGATAAGTGGCTACCTACTCAGTCATGCCACGCGCTCTCGACGGTGGAAAAAGAAGTGGTTCATCGTCTATAACCTTGTCCTCTATGAATTCGAGAAACATGAAGTGAGTACATACGTATTATGATAATGTACGCTACCACTACTGCTCTAATCTGAATGAATACACTTGAGTGCGAACATGATTGAGTTTGAGGAAACACGTACCACAGCTCCATGCCTGAACAAATGAAACATCTCTTTCTGTGGCATTCTACAACATACATGACTTTACTGCGCCCCTTTGCACTCACTGCATCCACCAATGCCCGTTGTTTTTCTACACTGTTTGTTTTGCGTATCAGAATCGATGTGAAGCTGGGGACTTTAACGTGTGTGTGTCATCATTTCAGCTTTGCATGTGTAGTACCGAAATCTCTCTCTTGATTTCCTTGTAGGATGTCACGGCAAAATCCAGCGTGGCTCTGCCAAGCTACCAAATCGATGCGACTGTAAGTTGATCCTAATGACCTTCAAGACAAGTGTGTTACAATCCCCATAGTGTCGACAGGACCAACATGTGTTCTGTCTGAAGCACCCAGGCACAGGCAAACTCTACTTCAAAGCAGACACGGAAGATCAAAGGGACAGGTATACAGAAGCCCTGAAGTTGTACATTTTTGTCTGAGTATAGATGGCAAAGGGAGGGAACGTTTGCTAGTTTAACCGTTTTGTAGATTGCCGTACAAATTGCCTCTCGTTTTGCCAGTTTTTGTTACTATGTAGTATGGTGTATAATGTTGTTCTTTGTCGACCTATAGATGGCTGGAGGTTCTAGAAAAAGCCGTGAAAGGTGAGATTGGTTCACCGCAGCACCCGCCAGCACCCCATACTCCAATTAGAGCCTCCTCCCCCCAGCCAGATGACGCAAGCCTTTGACAAAAACAACATGTTTTTATGTCAGTTATGTACATGTGCCTTCGTCGTTTATCAGCTATATATATTATAATGCATTTTGTGTGGGTTGATTTTTGTATCATACAACAAAGCCGCATAAATTTTTCAGCAAGGTAGAGGTGTCTGGTTTACTGCGCATGCGCCGCGTAACTGCTGCGCCGGTGCGCATTAAATAGAATTCCGCATCCTTCCTACGCCCATGCGCAAGATGGCCAAGAAGTCCAGAGTAAAGAGCATCTCTTCGCTCCTCGACGAGTTGGACAAGCCTCTCTACGGAGGGAAGTGGAGAGACATCGAGCAAGTCCTGAAGAAGGCGAGTAAAAAGCTCACGATCCCCGAATCGTTCAAGAGCTACTTGGAGGGCAAGGAACACCTGGAGAACCATTTCCTGGGATGCTCTCCCTCGAACGTCGACACGGCCCGGCAGAAACTGAAGCAGTGTCTCGACCTCTGTCAACCCGGACACGATGCGGCCCTGAGCCAACTGGCCCGCATCGGCTACGGGCAGACGCTTTGGCTGCGCAGCGACCCACTCCACGCCCTACCCTGCCTCCAGGAGGGCGTCCAGGCGACCGTGGACACGAGCCTGTTACACACGTGTAAAGTTCTCGCGGAAGGGAACATGTTTCTGGGGCTCTGCCTCGAGCAGTTGGGAGGAACGGAAGCCAATACGGACATCTCCCAAGCTCTAGGAGCTTACGAAGAAGCGACCAGACTTGCTCTCAATTTCCTACACCTAGCGAAGAGTTCGGGCCTCTCAAACCATCCAGTGGCTTACAAGGCAATCAGAGTTGCCGCCGAGCGAGGGCCGGTGCTCGCGTTTCAGTTGGGGGAACCTTTCCGTGCACTGAGCCTCTTCCGCCGGGTTCTAAAAGCCCGGGACGAAGACACCTTGCAGGAGTCACGCTTTATCTGCGCCACAAGTCTTGCTTCGCTTCTGGCCTTCCACTCCTCCCCCAGCGCTCACTCTCTCCCGAAATCCTCCTCCATCATAATTTCCGCCCCAAGTCACCTCCACGAGGAGTCGGTCCTCGTGACCAACATCGCAAAGATGTACGTCGATGCGTGGAACGTCAGCAAAACCAGTCCCGTGCCTTCGCCTGAGCTAATCTTTGATTTGCTCTGTCTATCACTCACGTGTGTCGGTCTCCACGACCAGCTGGTGCAAGCGCTCGAGGACAGCATGAAATTTGCGTTCATGATCCCCCACATCTGGTTCCAGTTTGGTCTCTCGTTGGTCGCCAGTGGCAAGGATTTGCAGGCGCTCGCCGTCTTCAAAGAGTGCATCAGTCTCTCCCCCAAAGACCCTGTAATCCTCTGCACGGCCGCGAAATTTGCGTTGGAGAAATCGACGAGACCCGACCTGTGCGTCGAGTGGGCGGGAAAGGTAAACAGGGACCACTTCTTGCAGCCCAGGGCGCAGTTCTTGCTCGGCAAAAGCTACTCAGTTCTGTCAGAACACGAGCTAAGTTCCGAAAAATGTGCGGCGCTCTTCAAACAAAGCCTGGAGCATTTCAGGCGTGCGGCTGAGCTCGATCCGAAAAACATTGACTATGCCTTCCACCTAGCTCTACAGTATGCTGAGTCACGTGAGCTGCTAAATGGGAGGGAGCAAATCCAGCGATCGTTACGCCTCAACGCTGGACACACTAGTTGCCTGCACTTACTGGCTCTCATCTATTCGGCCGAGAAGCAGTACTTAGAAGCACTTCAGATCTGCGACTTTGCCCTGCAGAAACAGCCGGAGAATTTCGGGATCCTCGAGTGCAAGATAAAGCTGGAGGTTATCACGATGGGGACGAACCAAGCCTTCAAGACCTGCAGACACGCTCTCAAACAGTGGCAGAAGTTGTTCTCTGAGGAGAGTACGGGACTAATAGCAGCAATCATGCAAGATGGCGTCTCGCTTTCCGATCTACAGCTGACCGGTTTCCAACGGGACGACCCGTTTAATATCGGGGCAGTCACACCCGACTTTGCTTCTGATGCAGAGTCGTCCCACTTTAGCATCAACACCACTAAGACAACTCCAAACCACCCCAATCTCCTCCAGGCAAGAATCTGGTGCACCATTGCCGAAGTTTTCGTGCTCGCCAACAAGACTGCGGATGCCATTTCGTGCATCCGCGAGGCGCAGTACCTCGCACCCTACCTCCCCTCGGTCTTCATCTGCTACGGTCGAATCCTAGCCAGCGAAAAGAACTACGAGCACTCTCTGGAACAGTTTAGAAGCGCGCTCGTTCTCCAGCCTGCAAACCCGACGGCTCTAACGCAAAATGGTCGAATTCTCCACCTTTCCGGAAGGAGTGTCGAGGCAGAGAAATACCTGCGGGAAGCAACGTCGATCGATCAACTCGGCCACGAGGCGTGGTATTGGCTGGGCCAGGTTTTCTCCGAGCAGCAACTCCATGAACTGAGCGCGGACTGCTTCAAGACTTCGCTGGATTTGGAACGCACCACACCAGTTCAGCCTTTCTCTGCGGTTCTCTCTTCATTCTTGCTTTGACAGTGTGAAATACATGTGAACATTCAAGGTATTGTTGTGTTTGTGTTGTTTTTTTTACTAGATCACCAATTTAATACTCCAATGTATGCACATGAATGTCTACTTGTCTACTTTCTTCCATTTTTCCATGTCATGACAAAAATTATTGTGGCGAGCGCTGGCACCGACGTGTTAAAATGTAACTGAACGTAAAGGCAAGCAGTGCTTTACAACACAATAGGTACACAAGCTGCTAAAAGGCTTTGGAAGACTAGCTAGGTTGGCTCGTATCATTTGCTGTCACTCACTCTCCTCTATTAAACCATGAGCAAACCTATACATAGCAGCACTAATAATATACACAAAAGCACAAATTCACATACAACATTATACATACTTACCTGTACATATATACATATACATAGTCTAACGGTGGGTGTGTTCTGCCATTAGTTCCGATAGCCTCTCTTTGTGCACTGGAAGCAAGCTTCTCCCTCGGCAACGGGTTTCCGACGTACAGGAGACCAGGCAGAGTGGGGAGTGTTGGGTTGGTCGTCTTTGTTGACTGGAGAGTGCACCACCTTCGCAGAGGGCACAGTGGGCTGCACAGTGGAACGTCAGAGAATTTATATATATCTCTCGAACTTCCTTTCGAATATTAGTGGTCTGCTACCAATGGGCATCAACTCTCTGATCTAGAGCTGATGTTCACAACTTGACTATAGGTTCACAATGTTGCAAAGGCTAGTCAACAGTGGGTATATAGCAGCATGCCACTTGGAGTGTTGCAATGAGGATAGAACCCATTTCCATCTTCATTGCACAGTGCGCCCGTGCAATGCGACACGTGTAGTATAATAATATTGGTTTGTTTGTGTAGAGTGAGTGTAAATGTCGATACATACCTCAGAGTTTTCACCTAATCCTTTGCTGCTGAACTTGTAAGCATTCTGCAAACATAAGAAAATGGGGCCGTCAATGTTTAAAGACAAACACAGTGCTTTCAACTAAATCGAATCTGTAGCCTGCGTAAAGGAGGCATCAGGACCACACGCCGTGCAGCCTTACCGCAGGCTTCAGTGGTCCATCTTGTCCTCTAAGAGGCTGTCTCTTTCCTAGCCCGCCGCCAGCTCCAGCAGTCAGTCTGTTTCGAGACAGCAGTGGTCGCCTCTGTCGCGGGTTGGGAACCAGAGTTCTTAGTCTCCCTGCTTCCACAGCGGGCGCAGCTCCAGCACCGCCACCGTCAGTTGGTTTGAGTGACGACTGCTTCACCAGGCTGTTGTCGTGGCGATCGGTACTCTGGTGACCAATCGGATTGCTGTCAGAGTTGTACACCAGAAGAGAAACATCTCTGCTTTCATTCTGAGAGTAGTGTGTGTAAAATACAAACACAATGGGGTAAAATTAGACATTACCAGTGGCTGCCGTCCAACAAAAATTCACATGGAAATGTTCACATAAACCAACCCCACCACGCATGCGGATTTCAAAAGTTTAAACTGAGGCTCAAGAGCAAAATGTTATCTAGTGGAAAGATAAAAACTATGTGTATAGCAAAAGAAAAAGTCGTTTACTGTGCTAGCAGTGTAAGTCGTCTGTATGTAAAGTGTATAACAGTATAATTATATAAACCTGTCTGGATGGGGTGGGTATGAAGGAGCGACGTTTGTTCCTCCGTGGTGATTTGGGGGTGGATTGGACGGCGGCCTCATTGGGCCCCTCTGTGAAGGTGTCACCCAGAGCAGCCGGCGGAGGAGGTGGGCGAAATGTCGGTCCACTTCCTGTCGAGTCTATACTGCTGAGACTGCAGTGGGGACAAAGGTGTTCGGCAGTGACGAACTGGACATCGCCTTGTACAGTAGTCTTACGCTGTCGATACTTCCTGCTGAGTTTGTACTGCTATGGGAACAAGAATGTGTGGACTTCCTGCTGAGAATGAGAGTACTGGAAAAGTACCCTCCCAGTACTATATGCAAGGATTATGTGGCATAAGACTTTTAACACCAGACTTGATCGCAATATCAAGCACCGAAGAGTTGTAATAACAAGCAAAGTTACAATGAATTTCGCTGTCACCCTATATAAAGGTGTCAACGCTGCACCTATTCCTATCTCGCCCAAATTTCACTGTCCCCCTATATAAATTCTCAAGCAAAAATATTTTTCATGAGCACACACATAATATAGAAGAAAGATAAAAAAGAGGAACGAGGGCTCTACTTCCATGAACACCAAGGAACCAAATTCCCCAGGTCCTGACCTGAACTTTGGACGGACTCTGCGACTGGGAGTTGAGGCGATGGAGCTCCTTGGGGTGTTCGGAATCCCACCACCATTGCAGCCAGTCTCCTCCCCACACCGCCGAGCAGCCGCAGTAGAGCTGTCCTTTGTCACCGTCCTGTTCGCCGCCTTGACTACGGTACCTGTGGCGAGTGAGATTATAGCAGCTCAAAAAGTCACTACTGCATGCCAGGCATATTCCGACCTGCTGCAGCTCTTGAGTGTGACAGTTGGTTCATTGGTGTTGACTGCTGGACAGAAGGCGAGCCACTCGACACAATGGACGTACTCAGACCAGTTGACTTGTTTGAAGACTTCGCACCGACCGCCAACTCTGGTGCAACGGTGCCACTAGACAGAGGTTTAGTGGTGTTGCATGCACTTGTGGATGGAAGATGAGGCCCGGCATTAGTACTAGAGATTGGTTGCTTGACGTTTACTCGTAGTCTGTTGTTGGGTGTGGAGGGGTTATATTTCGTCTTTACCGGGCCCCTACCACGTGTTGGTGTGGTTGTTACACCAGCACGACTTGCAGTGTTAGCCGACCTAGACACAGTTGCAGGGTTGGTAGCAGTAGACAGTCTGGCAACTGCTTCTTTGATGGGGTTTGGATTGGCCGGTTTGACAAACGTGTTCCTGGCGGGTTTGAGCGGCCCCGTAGTGTCCAGAGATCTTCTGGGGATCTTCTTCCCAGGCTGGACCAATCCCGAACTCTTCGTGTTGCTAGTGATACTAGGAGCACTGGTCCTTCTGGGCATTGCAGCTCCGGTTTCCGGAACATTCTGGAGTTCAGGGAGATTCGTGTGACGTTTTGTTTCCGGGGGTTTCTTGACTTGCGATGGGAGTGCAGAGGGAACGGCTGATGTGGGGAGTAGGCTCTTCAGTTTTGACAGAGGCCTCTTCACAACCTATATATGTACATACATGGTAGTAGGTATATACAGTATGTACATGTAAACTATGAGGTAGAAAGGCAAATGCACGACAAACAAATCAACTACACCCAGGACAGCTCTTTTCTCCAAGGAAAAAAGAAGAGCCGCCTAATTCGAACACACGACTCTCTGTAGTCTAGGCGAGTGCTCTACCAACTGAGCTACCAGGGCAACTCAGCTGGTATGGGGTTCGAATCTACAACACAATACAACACAAGGTAGGTATATACAAAATGGCACAGTGGCATGTCAGGAGACAGTTAAATTCATTTACCTTGACAACTGGAGCTCCTGTGCCTGCCTTGTAGCCCAATGCACCACGACATGCAGGTTTACCGACCCTATTGCTGCAGGTAAAGGATGTACACACCTTTAGTAAACTACATTCTGTCCCCACTAAATGAACAGTATTCAAAACGAACATTGTTGGAAATGTAACCGACCTTGTTGATTTCTTTTCTATTTTCCTTTTGTTCTTCTGGTGTTGATTAGTACCCTCGCGACTAGCAGCCGAACTGGCCACAGAAGAGACAGAAGAACCACTGTGACTGGTGTCGCGACTGCCACTCGATTTCTCCGAATGATGTGATGACGAGGAGGAGGAATGCCTCGTCGGTGAGTTGGAGGAGGAGGAGGTGGTGGGAGGGGTGATGGTGAAGGTTTGACTACGAGTGTCCTGAGAGGTGGCGGGTGGTGAAAGGGATGCTGAAATGACTGGAGGGAAGACAGTCATCTTGGACGCTTCCCTTAGCTCCTCCAGTTCACTGCAGACTACAGGCTGAGGGAGGGAGGGAGAGAGAGAGGAGAGTGGTCAGTCACACATTTACAAATTTCGTGGTTTACATTTCTCCATGAAAGTTGACAATCGACCATGCTATACATGTACACAAAATGTTGGAGGGAAAACCTTTTGGGACCACAATTTTACCACTTGAAAGGTTCCTGTAAAATGTTGTAAAGAGTCAGACTTACAGAACCAGAGAAGACGCTGCATTTCTGCAGTTTCTCGCTGGGAGTCCTGAGTCTGGAGACCTGGAGACACGCCCTCTGAGTAGACCTCTCTGGGGTCAAACTAACCCCACTACTTCCTTCTTCTCCTCTCTCCACATTGCCTCCACACTCTGGCTTTGGTTCTTGAGCACTGTCCATATTTTCAGCCCTGGGATTGTCGGGCGACGTTTCCACCTTTTGGTCGCGTGTCTGTTCATCCGTCGGCGCCAATATCACAGTCTGGTTCCGGCTGTGTCTCTGTTCCACGTCGCCACCTTCACTGGAATGAGGACTGATGCTCACCATGCCGGAATCGGCAGAGTTGGATCGAGGTTTGGCCACATTCCTCACTACCATCTCTCTGTTATTCTCCTCACAAAACACGTCTCCCTCGTTTTTCCCATCTTCGCATTCCTTCCTTTCAGCCATCAGAGCTTCCTCATCCTTAGTACTCTGTTGCAGCGTTGATGGTGGCTTGAACCCAAAAAGCACCTCAAGTTCTCGCTTGTGTTGCCTCTGTAGCTCGCTCTCAGAGAGGGGTCTGTCGCCGACGACCTTCCCCTCTCCTCCCTCCCCTCCCTCTCCCCTCGTCGTCGCTGAGCCCCACCGGATTTTCCGGCAAGGGAATGAGACAGCACTGTGGAGGCACCCAGCCACAGAGCTGAGCGGTTTCCGCGGCTTTTCCGGCATCACTCGAACCTCCATTTCCTCCATCATTGTCCCTCGACCCGCCCCCTTCGTATTCTTCATCGTTTGAGTTCTCATCACAATCTTGTTCTTCTTCACTCTCGAGACTAAGAAGTAAGGAAAGATATACAGTGGAACCCTCTGAAATACATGGAATTTAACCTCTGATACAAGTATATACACCTCACTAATGTGGACATATTTGTATCTTCTGTCTTATTGCTGCCGGGATTTACCGTAGTATTATAGGACTGTGCTATATGTATGCTTCATGTGAAGTGCACACTACTTATGTACCTGACATCTAGAAACTCATCGGGGATTTCGCAACCACCGGACTCCTCCAGTAGCCAAACTCCTGCACACAACAGTCAATGGTGGTACATATGAAATGGTACTGTACTGTATGAAGAGTGTAAATCTTTGAAACTGAGTCTATATCTCCTCAAAAGTGCAGCAGGGATAACGCTTATGAATAGAGAAGCTGAGATCAAAAAAACAGCAAAGATGCAAAAGCCTAGTGCTAACTTGCAGCTATTTTCAATACCCACTTACCATAGAAAACAAATTTGAGCGGGCAAATAGCAATAAAATTGAGGGTATAGCAGCTTAGTTGCAAATATTTTTAGATTACGCTCTCTCTCCTTCACGAAAGAACACCCAGCTCACCTGTCGAAGTATCTGTAAACCATACTTTCTCAACTGATTGAGGACACGCATTCTTCCCCGAGCTCCTCTTGTCTTCCTCGCCACCGTGCATGCAACCACCTTTGAAAGAGATGTAAGTCCAACAACAAGGTGCACACAAATGCAGCACGGAATAGCAAGACACGGAGAGTTAAACTACTACGTCAGAAGAATTACAGTTCAGGAGGGAAAGAGAAAGAACCAACTCCTGTCGGGAGTCAAACTCAGGCATTGTGACTGGAAGTTGAGTGCACTACACACTGAGCTACAACTCCCTGACAAAAGTCCCTTCCCCTCTCCCTTTAGGTTGTTGCCTATCTGACTCTTCAGTCGTCCATCTAAAGTATACCAACTGAGAACGATGTTCTTACTGGCACTGGTTTGAGGCGTAGGAGCGTTAAAGTTGGAGCTGACGGTGCTGACGTCTATGATCCCTCCGCTACCCGAGTCCGACGAGTTGCCCGTGACCGAATTACCGCCTCCTCCTCCTTCTGCTTCCATCTTCACCTTCTCTCCTCCGCCTTTTCGCGCCGAATAACGGGTTTGAATATGAATTACGTAATTTTAAATCACGTGAGGTCGGAGGTCGCGCGTCGTCGTGTGCGTGCATGCGCGCGCGCGAGCGAAAATTCTATCTCGATGGGGGCGGGGTTGCCCTTGTAGTAGTATATACAGTGATCGAGTGCAAGACGAGACATGGAGTCGGAATCTCTCATAGCAGATGGGGCTGGACGCGCCGCAAAGACCAGCTACAATGCGGCGCCAGCTGCCGCGCCCGATAGCGGGCCCAAGTTCACAAGAAAGACGATCTTTGGAGACGTAAGTTTGCCGCACACAGCGCTCGCAGCTCGTACGTACGCACCTTGCTAGGAAGGCAGGGCTTGTAGTCGCATGGATGCTAGCTACAACAGTCTTGACAGCAGTACTACCGTGCGTAAGTATGTACCGCGTTTCCTTTAGGTACGGAATTGGAGACGGTTCGCATGGTTCGAATGGGTGTTCGTTGCAGTCGCCTCTCTCACCATTCTCACCATCCTGGGGGTGTCTATCCAGCGGTTCGTCTACTTTCAGCAGCATTTTACCAACATCAGCGTGCTCAATTCCAGTGATTCTGATAAGCATTCCTACTACCACTACTACTGTAGCAACTGGACTTGCACCAACGACTTCATTTTCACCGTTGTGCTAGTCCTAAATATAGGTAATGTGCTCTGCAAACCCCAATTATTGACAGTGAAAGTAAAGCAGCATGCTTGTTTTTAAAATAGTGTCTATTTACCTCAGTTTCACGTGTCTACCTGGAGAAAAGCAGCAAAATAGAACCGAAGTTTCGAATCTCCCAAATTTTTCCATTTTCAACACACCTTTTGAGCTGTCTTACAATAACAAGGGCCTAAAGCACATCTTACCATAGCACTTATACAAAACATGTATATACAGGCAGCAAACAACATTTTCGGTGAGAAAGCTTTTGTTTGGAATTTTTTCCCAGCCCACAAGTTTTAGCAGAGATCAAACGACAAAATTCGCTTTTCTCCCTCAACAATCTCCCTCTCTACAACTAATGTATGATTGTGTGATATCCATGGTTGTATGGTTAAAGTAATTGATTCGCACTGTGTTCCGTTGCAGCATTTTCAGCTCTGTACGTGGTGCATGGTCTTCTTCAAGAGAGGATGTTTGCGTTGGTGGCATACTCTGTCACGGTCGTGGTGATCATGCTCTACGTCATAGTCAACTACTCGACCAAGGGAGAGAGAGACTCGCTTCTGGAGCCTCTCAGATTGGTATTACATCATTGTGCGGGAGAGTGGTATTGTAGTGTGTAAATAATGATGTAGTAGAGTGTGGTGAAGTCATGAGCATGTGATACCAGCTGCAGTATGGTTCAATGCACAAGCTTAGGGAATACATGTACTTTGAAACCACTCTAATTGGAGAAGAAAGTGTCCACCTTAACGAGAGGTGTACTTATTTCAATTACACTCAGGCAGGAACTTTTAATTAAAGCACGTGTCCTCATTTCAGTGATGTCATTTGGGAGGGGTCTCAATGCTAGTGGCAAAGCACTATTTCTATGGCTTAGTTTGACACATGTGGAGCCCCTCTCTAAGGACCATGAAGCGAGGGCACCTATTTTATAAGGACATGTTAACTTCTGTCTCGGTGGTGTCTGGATTAGAGGAGTTCCACTGGACGTTGTAAAAAAATGGTCCTCTCTTTTCCCACTGCAGGTTCGTCTGGTTCTGGTGGTGGTTGGTGGTCCCATAAACATTGTCCTCTCCTCCATCATCTCCTACAGAATGGGCTTCTTCATCTTCACTACTGTCGGAGTCAACACGACACTCATCAGTTAGTTAGCCCTTTCAGAGCAAACTGACAAAGTTTTTTTTAGACTTTGTGGGCTGGGGCCATTTGTATGCACCTATTCCTATCTCGCCCAAATTTCGCTGTCCCCCCTGAATAAAGGTGTCAACGATTTCGCATTTTTTGTAGGCACAAGAGTGGAATAAAAGACAAACCAACTATCCTTAATACTTCGACTAAAGTTGGAGTATGGAATGGTAACATCTTGCTGCGCCTATCCCTATCTCGCCCAAATTTCGCTGTCCCCCCTGAATAAAGGTGTCAACGATTTCGCATTTTTTGTAGGCACAAGAGTGGAATAAAAGACAAACCAACTATCCTTAATACTTCGACTAAAGTTGGAGTATGGAATTGGTAAATCGTGCTGCGCTATCCTATCTCGCCAAAATTCGCTGTCCCTGAATAAAGGTGTCACGATTTCGCATTTTTGTAGGCACAAGAGTGGATAAAAGACAACACACTATCCTTATACTTCGACTAAAGTTTGGAGTATGAATGGTAACATCTTGTCTGCGCCTATCCCTATCATCGCCAATGTTCGCTGTCCCTGCATACGGGTGTCGCCGATTTCGCATTTTTTGTCAGTCACAAGAGTGGAATAAGAGACAAACCAACTACCTTATTACTTTGAACTACCGTTGGAGTATGGATGGAAACATCCTTGTT